CCCCTCCATCCTGGAGGTCAGCTCCACTCACAAAGTTCGTAGAGAACGAGGGGAGGTAAAGACCTGACAGGGTGCTAGAAGGGGCCGCCGGACACGGCAGGACAGTGGAGAAGTGGGCAAGGACAGGACTCCCGGGTCCGCCGCACCAGTAGCAACCCCTAACTCCAGGGTCCGCAGCACCAGCAGCAGCTCCAACGTCCGGGTTCGCAACACCAGCAGCAGCTCCAACTCCAGAGTCCGCAGCACTAGTAGCAGGGTCCGCGACACTAGGAGCGCCACTCCTGAGACTGCAGCGCCGTGCGTACCTCTCACGAAGTCGCTGGGGAGAGGGCAGCTCCCGCCTAGGAGAGGAAGCACGAGCACCAGCTCCATCAGCACTCCTAGCTCCAGAAGCACCTCTCCTGAGGCTGCAGTACTGTAAGTACCACTCACGCAGCTACTGTGAGGAGAGAGCTCCTCCAGGCATAGCACTTCCAGGCTCAGCACCCCCAGACTCAGCACCCCCAGACTCAGCACCCCCAGACTCAGCACAAGCAGGCTCCGTACTCCCAGGCTCAGCACCCCCAGGCTCAGTACCTCGAGACTCCGCACCCCCAGGCTCAGTACCCCCAGACTCCGCACCCCCAAGCTCAGCACCCCCAGTCTCCGCAACCCGAGTCTCCGCACGCTCAGGCTCAGCACCCCAAGCAGGACGAGAGTCGACTACTACCTCGACAGGCTCAACCGGGTCTACCTGGGACACACCTGAGGGAGCGGCACCCTGACGGGGGAGGGGGTCTACCACGGCAGCACCTGGCGCGAGGAAGAGAGGCGGGGGAGGGAGCTGGGCAGTGCGGTAGGGGAAGAGGCGGTAGAAGGGTACCGACTCGTCAAAGGTGACGTCCTGAGAGGCGAGGACACGACGCGAGGTGGGGTGGTAAAACTGCCAACCAGACGCGTCCGGAACAAAGCCTAGGAAGACACACAGAACAGCGCGGGAGGAGAGCTTGTCCGCGGACGTATCGCGAAACAAAAGCTCGGGATCCCCAGACCCGAAAACGCGACACATCGCCAACCTCTCCCGTCCAACGTAGTGTCGGGGAGGTCTCCGGCAAGGAGACACGGGGCCAGAGGTTGAGCTGATGCGCAGCGTATCGGACCGCAAACGGCCACAGAAAGTGGGGGGCAACTGCATGGATCAAGGAGGTACGAGCGACCTCCATGACCAAGCCAATGCGGTGCTCAGCAACCCGATTCTGCTGTGGAGAGGCCGGAAGCGTGAACGAGTGGCGGATGCCGTGCTCCGCACAGTAGGCTGCCAAGAGGTCGGAAGAGAACTCACCACCTCTATCAGAGTGCAAGCGCAGGACAGGAAAGTCCGAGTGGAAATGCTCGCTGAGCTGAAGACGAGAAGCGCGGATCCAAGGGATCAAAACATCAAGGACCTCACCCTTGGTGCGCAAGGGGAAGACCGTGGTGTAGCGCGAGTAGTCGTCAACAACTATCAGGAAGTACCTCTCCTGACCCTGACCACGGACGCGGGCGGGGCCCCACACGTCCATGTGGAGCGTCTGCAAGGGAGCAGTCGTCGGGGGAAACGAGGAGGAGTGAGGAGCAGCGCGCTGCCGCCCCTCGACACAGGGAAGGCAGGGAGGAGCAGGCGAGGGTGGGAGGGGAGGGAGAACTCTGGGAAGACCAGAGACAAGGTACCGTTTTTGCATTGCCCGAAGGCGCTGCACGGACGGGTGACCAAGTCGGTGGTGCCAGAGGACGGTCTCGTGCGCCAGAGAGCGGCACGAGCAGGGGGCCAACAGCTAACCTGACGCAGACGCAGACGCAGACGCAGCTACCTGAGGGGACTCAGTAGTCAGTGTGTACAGGTCCGACCCCGGCTGCCGTGTGAAGGTCGCCAGGTGACGGCCCGTCCGAGCACACGTGCAGTGTGTCACGCGCTCGTAGGCAGGGGTGAACTGGTGGACACCCCTGTCCTGGAGCGCACTACCCGCCACCAAGTTCGTAGAGAACGAGGGGAGGTAGAGACCGGAAAGTGTGCCCGATGGGACGGCCGGACAGGGGAGGACAGTGGAGGAGGTCGCAAGGACTTGACCCCCAGAGGGGTCAGCGAGAGAGACTGCAACGGGCTGAGCAAGCTGCTCAAGAGCCGTGCGGTCACGAAAGAAACAGCGGGAGGCACCTGAGTCTAGTGTAAAGGTGTGCAGTGCCTCAGTCGACTCAGTACCAGGGGGCGCAGACGCACCAGCACCTAGAGCAGCAGCCTCACCAGCACCTGGGGTAGCAGACACCCTAGCACCTAGAGCGGCAGCCTCACCGGTTCGAATGCCCGGGTCGGACGGAACACGCAGGTACTGGGCACCCTCTCCACTAATAGACATCACATACATGGCAGAGAGAATAGCATCAAAGTCTAGAGCAAAGATATCAATGTTTTGCTTCATCAGATCAGCCCAGCGGGGCAGCTCAGTGGCGTGAGGGAACTGAGTGCGCCAAACGTCGTTGAGGCGTGAGAAGCAGTGCTGCGTGGGTGCGCCCTCCCACACGTCTGACCAGTGCGGTCACCAGTGCGGATGACGTACGTGCAGCTAAGGCCACCCCCCCTCCGGTGCTGAGCGTACCACTCACGGAGCTCCTGGGGCGACGGAGAGTGCTGCAGGCTCTGGCCACCACGAGTGCCTCCACGACCACCACCGCCACGGCCACTTCCTCGACCACCTCCTCCCCTGCCGCCGCCGCGTCCACCGCCGCCCCCACCACCGGCCCCGCCCCTGCCACCGCCCCCGCCGCTGCCGCCACCACCCCCACCGCTGCCACTAGCCCCACCAGTCCCACCACCACCCCCACCGCCGCCACCACCCCCACCACCGCCTCCCCCGCCGTCACCTCCGCCTCCCTTGCCCCCTTTGCCCTTGCCGCTGCGGCGCCCGCTCGAAGCAGACGCAGCCCCGACCTTCTCAGAACCAAGGAGGTCGACAGCAGAAGCAGAGGCTACAGAGGGAAGAAGGGGGGAAGGGGAACACCCCTCAAAGAAAGGGGTGCGGGGGTCGCCACGAGAGGCACCTACAGCGACTATGCTAGCCTCAGCTGCAAGGCAGTTCCTTCTTGAGGAGGGCAATGGTGAGCTCAGTGGGGCAGCGAGCTAGGAAGTGATCCCTAACAGCACACAGAGTGTCAGGGAGGCGGGTGACTAGGTGGTAGAGAGTGAGCCAGAGCGGGGGAGGGTTCTTGGCAAGAAACTCATCGGGCATGGCGGCACGGAAGCGGGCCTCACTAGTACGGAGGTGCGTGATGAGGTCAGCGACTGTGTGGAACGAGGCCAGGTCGGGAAACAGGTAGGGGAGTGAGAGACGGCCTTGCGCGGCAGAGGCATGTGAGGAGTAGCGGGCAACGACAGCGGTGTACAGTGCGTGTGCAGTCTTGTGCTGGCCAAAGTGCTCGCGCTTGTCTATCGGCAGGGAGTTGCGAATAGCGAAGCAAGCGTGGGTGTCACGAGTCTGCCACTGTGAGCGGGCAGTGCTGTCAGCAGTAGCAGCAGGAGCAGCAGCATGGCCTAGGGCGTGATTGTACAGTGAGATGTCCTCCTTGGCAGTGAGCTGTAGGAAGAGGTGTAGGTCATCTAGCCAGGTTTCGAACTTCACTGGGCGGCCCTCATCATCGAAAGCTAGCACAGGAGGGCTAGCCATAGTAGTAGAGTAGCAGTAGTAGCAGTAGTAGGAGTAGGTGCACCCTCAAAACAGTTGGCAGTGCGACTCAGGTAGGGCGGCTCGGTCCAGTACGGGCGGCGCGGCTCGGTTCAGGTAGGGCGGCTCGGCTCGGGTAAGGCGGCGCGGCTGGGTTCGGGCGGCGCGGCTCGGTTCGGGCGGCTCGGTCTGGGCTGGGCGGCTCGGTTCGGGCTTCTTGGTTCAGGCGGCTCGTTCTGGTGGGGCCGTGGGTGTCGCGGCGGGGTGCTAAGGGGCGGCGCGTGGGTCGAGGTGGGCTAACGGGGCCGCTAAGCGGTGGGCGCGCGCAGGGCAAATGGGGCCGACGGGGCCTCTAAGGGGGTCGTGCGCGGGGTCGATGGGGCCAGCGGGGCCGCTAAGGGGCGGCGCGTGGGGTCGATAGGGCCTGCTGGGGCCTCTAAGGGGGCGGCGCGCGGGGTCGACGGGGCCAGCGAGGCCGCTAAGGGGCGGCGCGTGGGGTCGACGGGGCCGCTAAGGGGTGGGCGCGCGCGGGGTATAGGGGGCCGACGGGGCCTCTAAGCGGGGCCAGCGGGGCCTCTAAGGGGCGGCGCGCAGGGTCGATGGGGCCTCTAAGGGGCGGCGCGCGGGTCGCTAAGGAGGGCGGGTCGCGGGGCCTTAGGGGGCCGTGAAAACGAGGCGCACGAGGGCGCTAGGGGGGGAGGCGCTCGAGGGCGCTCCGACAGTAGGGCGCACGAGGGCGCTAGTAGGCAGCAGTAGTGGTGGGCCCTAAGAATCGGTCCTAGCGGAGGACGTGCTCTGAAACCATGTTACGAAGAAGAAGTGATTGAACTATGAAAGTTGGAGTACAAGTAGGAAACCCTAGCTTTGTGTACCCCCTAAAGGCTAACCCACTATAGCCTACACAACAATAACACATATAGTGTTTGACACCAGAGGGGTCGGCCAGGGAGACTACCACTGGCCGGCGAAGTAGCATGAGCGTGGTGCGGTCTCGAAAGAAGGAGCGGGAAGCACCAGAGTCAAGGGTAAAGGTGTGGGTAGCCGGAGCCGACGCGGTACCTAAGAGCGCAGACTCACCAGTACCTGGGGCAGCAGACTCACTAGCACCTAGAGCAGCAGCCTCACCAGCGCCTAGAGCAGCAGCCTCAATGCCCGAGTGAGGCGGAAAACACCGGTAACAGTCACACTTATCACTAATAGTCACAGCATAGATGGCAGCAAGAATAGCATCATAATCAAGATCAAAGATCGCAACACCCGCCCTAAACAGCTCGCCCCAGCGAGGGATCTCAGTAGCGTCGGGGAACTGATGACGCCACGCGTCCGTCAGGCGGCCAAAGCAGCGCTGGGTGGAGTGCGGACCCCCACACTGCTTACACTGGGTGGAGTCGCCGGTGCGTAGAACGTAGGTACAGGGGCCAGCACCCCCACCCCGCTGACGAGCAGCGTACCACTCACGAAGCTGCTGGGGGGAAGGGGTCTCACGAATGCGTTGCTGCTGGCGCTGACCACCACAGGAGCCGACCCTCTGTGTAGAGCCGCCCCGACCAGCTCCACCTCCGCCGCCGCTACCTCCACCACCGCCTCCACCTCCGCCACCTCCGCCTGCACCGCCACCTCCGCCTTCACCGCCACCACCGCCGCCTCCTCCACCGCCACTTCCGCCACCAGCGCCCCCACCCCCGCCACCACTCCCACTGCACCCCCACTCCCTCTGCCGCCTCCACCGCTGCCTCCACCGCCCCCGCCAGCTCCTCTAGCGCCCTTGCCCCCCTTGCCCTTGCCTGGGCGGCGTCTCCCGCTAGGGGTAGACGCCGCGCCGACCGACTCAAGACCAACAAGGTCGGCCGCAGCAGCACAGGCAACAGAGGGCAAGAGGGGTAAGGGGGAGCACCCCTCAAAGACAGGGGTACGAGGGTCACCACGAGAGGCTCCTACAGCGACTATACTCTTCTCTGCTGCTAGGAGGCGCTCCTCGAGGATGTCAACGGTGAGTGTGGTGGGGCAAACAGAGAGGAAGTGGTCTTTGACCGAGCGAAAGGTGTCAGGGAGCCGGGTGAACTATGTAGTAGAGGGTGATGTACATAGGTGGGGGGAGTTCTTGGCGCAAAACTCAGCAGGAAGCGCAGCACGGTAGCGAATGTCACTAGTGCGAAGGTGCATAACGAGGTCAACGACTGTAGGAAAAGCGGCGAGGTCAGGGAAGAGGTACGGCAGGATGAGGCGGCTAAGAGCAGCAGTGGCAGGGGAAGAGTAGCGTGCAACTACAGCATCGTACAAGGTCTTAGCACTCTTGTACTGGCTAAAATGCGCGTGTTCAGCGGTTGGTAAGTGGCGGCGCACAGCAAGGCGGGCAGCAGCATCGCGCGTGGCCCATTGTGAGCGAACAGTGGCGTCAGCATCAGCAGCAGAGGCACGAGAAGCACCAGAAGTGAGGTCAAACAAGGGAGAGACCGTCTGCCCTATCGCATTGTAGGAAAAGCTGCAGATCATCTACCCAAACCTCAAAGTCAACAGCCCGACCCTCAGCGTCAAAGGTGAGAACACTAGGGGTGGCCATGACAGCAGTAGACAGGAAGTGAGTACAGTGGGGTAGGCCAGTGCAGTGGCAGAGGCGCTTCTCTTACCAGGCAAGTGAGGCAGTCCGGGGCAGGCTGGCAGGCGGCGGCGTCTCGGCTGCAGTGCGGCTCTGTGGCTCGGCGGCTCAGCGGCTCGGCGGCAAAGGCGGCTCGGCGGCTCGGCGGCAAAGGCGCCTCGGCAGTTCGGCGGCTCGACGGCTCAGCGGCTCGGTGGCTCGGCGGCGCAGCGGCTCGGCAGTTGTGGTTGTGTAGGCTTTTCCTGTGGGCTTTTCCTTTGTAGTTGTGTAGGCTTTTCCTGTGGGCAATGGGGAGGCCTTAACACTATGCTGCGGGGAGAGAATATGAACTCCTTGGAACGCACGACCCTTTTCAACACTCCGGAGTGCTTTGCCCAACTTCTCAGGTACCTGAATAATGTCCGAAGGCTTTTTCTTGGCCTTGAAATCTCCCCTGGATTTTTTTAAGGCTTGAAAACCTCCAGAGGGAATATTCTTACTCTCGTGGGTGTTCGGCTGGAGTTTCCCGGTCGGTGCAGAGTCTTGTTTCGCAGAGCCTCCATTTGTCTCGGCGATTTCCCCTGTTGCCGGCCGGTCGTGGCGTTTTAAATTCGTGCCATTACGTCCTCCTTTTTTCGCCATCGTGGATGTCGCACTGTTGTTGCCCTGCAGCTCCGCTCGTGCCTTCTTCATTTTCCAACACGCCAAGAGTCGATGTCCTGATGCGCGGCAAAATTCGCACTTCTCATATTTTGTCGGCCGCTGCTTCGCGTCGATCTTGTCGATATCCATTGGGTCGGCGGTTGTGGGTGGTGCCAATCGCTTCGTGCCAAATGATCAGTTTGGCACGTGGTGTCGTGTCTCGTCTTGATCTCGCGTCAGCGCATCGAATCTCTCTGCTGCACACACCATGTCGCGGTAGTTGTTGTAGTTTGCGGCAATCACCTGTCGGCGGACTTCCATTTTTAGCCCCTCAGTATACGCTTGGATTTTTTCCCCTTTGGTCAGGTCGGTAATTCGGTTGAAGAGGCTCTCCATCTGCTGTCTGTACTGTGTTACACTGCCGAACTGTTTATGCTGATGAATCTGCTGCCGCGCCATGTAGCTGGAGTTGATTGGTTCGAAACGTTGAATTAAAGCTTCCCGAAACTACGTCCACGACCCCTCGCCTCGGATCTTATTGCTGTTGTAAATCCACTCGAGCGCTGGGCCTCGTAACACTGTCGCTGCGAGCTGAATCCACATTGCATCGTGTGCCGGGGTCGTACAGCCAACGGCCTCGAAGTAAATTTCGAGAGTCGCAATGAATCGACGAACGTCACTGTCTCTCGCATTCGGATTGAACGTCTTCGGTAGCCTCGGACGTGCCGCCTCAAGATTCACTGTAGCCGCTGCCGCTGCTGCTGGGTTAAGTGTCGGTGTCGCCGCTGCTGCTGCTGACGTTGCTGCTGCATTCGCCGCTTCGTTTGCTGCTGCTATGGCGGCTGCCGACTCGTTCGCGAGAAGCTCCTCTATTCGCTGGAGTGCCGCTCGCGTCTGGTCCAGGCCGGTGTGTAACTCCGTAATTTTCCGTACGGAATTATCACCGTTTTCCTCCATTTGGCGATTTATAAGAAGATTTGCGACGAAAATATATGAATTTTAGGCGCTGGTCATCTTACTGTGAGTCGAGTTGACTGCAGAAGTGACGAGGCCTGATTCTTTAGGTCGCGTTATTCTCCCTTAGTCGAAATTTGCGTCTGATCTCGGCCGTTGAGAAGAAATTCGATCCGACGCTCCACATTCCAACTGTTTTGGGCGAAATTCTCGAGGCCGTTGAGATTCGAATCGATCCGACGGTCGAAATTCCAACTTTTTCGCCACTGGACCTGAGGAGTGTTCGAGACCCGGTTCAAGGGGAACGTTAGAAAATAGCGCGGAACTGGTTTACGTACCCGAAATCCGCGTATTCCGTCGTCGCCCCAGCGGTTTTAAAAGCTAGGTTTAAGCGGTCGAAAAACTTAGCTTGCAAACTGCTCTGATTACCAAGGTAAGGATCTAGGATCGAGCTCAGAAAAGAGAATTGTAATTGAATTACCACCAGGGTACAACATGAGGCTATATATAGGCTCGAATCAAGGCTCCGTAACCAGGTGTTACGCGAAGGTTCCGCGGGTCGCGAGCGTCCCGAACAGATCCTTCCCGAATTCGGTAGAAGGCAATTCGGTGGCAACCAAAAAGCCAGAATTCGGTGCACGCAACCTACCTCGGTGCTATAACTATAATAAAATATAGGAAAGCACCTAGCCTAGGAAATCAAGTAATTCATGCATACTTATAATTATCCTATGCTAGAAATAGCATGATAAAGTAAAGGCAAGCAAGCATAGCTAGCATAAGCCGTCGTACTCTCACAATCTTCACGACCTCGCAGTCTGCCGCTCCACCGCCTTCAACCAAATTTGGAACGCTCCCAGACGCCGCTCTTCTCAGCGAATGGCCCGACCCTCAAAAAAGGGGTCTTGTGGTCCTTGAGTAGATGGAAGTTGGGACTTCCATCATTGGCGGTCACACAAAAGGGTCCGTCTAGGTCGATGTGGACGACATCCACCGCGTTCGCGGCTTCTGAGCCCTTGTCGAGGAAGGTGTGCTGTGCCAGTTTTCCGTTGACGCAGTAGAAGCAAAGCAAGTCGACGGTAGCTCCGTGTGCCGCCATGCGTTTGATCGTGTCGTCCGCAGTGCCACTGTCTTTGTCGGCGGAGCCATCTGCTTCGTTGAGCAAGGTCACAGGTTGGTGCAAAGAAACCGTACCGTGTAGCGCGAACGGTCGAGCACGACTCTCTTGGCTGATATGTGAAGCATCTCGTTGCACACGTCCTACAGCTTCACGCCGCTGTCCTTCAACTAGCCCACTAGCAGGAGATTCGCCTATACTCCCAAGATGTACAGCACGTTGAGGATTAGGATCTTCTTCCCCTTGCAATGTGACGATGCCGTGGCCTTGGGTGACTTGAATTACCCTGTCTAGAGCCATGTACATGGTTGACGATGTCAGATTTACATGACATAGCTGCTGTAGGCTATAGTGGGGTAGCACATATAGGGTACAGCTTTCTAGGGTTTGTACTTGTACCCAACTTTCCCTTAGTCATTTTCATTCTCGTTCATTTTCTCATGGTATCGAGCAGGTTCCCCTATGGGAACTGTTCCTAGGGCCCACCACCCTTTTTTTTTTCCTGCCTGGAGCGCGCTCTACTCTGCCCGAGTCGCGCTCCCCTCTCACGGCCCCATCGCGCCGCCCTTTCGACCCTGTCGCGCCGCCTTAGCGGCCCCGTCTCGTCGCCCTCGCGGCCCCGTCACGTCGCGCAACCCTAGCGGCCGCGTCGCGCCGCCCTCGCGGCCCCGATCCGCCACCCTCGCAGGCTCCGTCGCGTCGCGCCACCCTCGCGGCCCTTTCATGCCGCCCTCGCGGCCTCTTCAAGCCGCCCTCGCGACCCCCCCCCTCCTAGCCGCCCTAGCGGACCCGTCGCCTACCCCTGCGGCCCCGGCGCCGCCCTTCCCGGCCCCGGCGCCACCTCTGCCGGCCCCGTCACCTACCCCTACGGCCCCGACGCCGCCCTTCCCGGCCTCGGCGCCACCTCTGCTGGCCCCGTCGCCTACCCCTGCGGCCCCGGCGCCGCCCTTCCCGGCCCCGACGCCGCCTCTACTGGCCCCGTCGCCTACCCTACGGCCCCGGCGCTGCCCTTCCTGGCCTCGGCGCCGCCTCGGCTGGCCCCGTCGCCACTCCACCCGACCCCGCCGTCACACCGAGCCGCCGGCGCCGCCGAGCTGCTACCGAGCCGCCCGACCAACCCGAGCCGCCCGAGCCGCCCGAGTCGCCCGAGCCGCCTGAGCCGCCGCGCCACCTGAGCCGCCCGAGCCGCCGGGTCGCCGAGCTGCGGAGCCGCCGTACCGCCGAGCCGCCCGAGCCACCCGAGCCACCCTGTCCGGTAAGAGCAGCGCCTCTATCACTGCACTGCCCTTACCCTACTGTTCGCCCTGCTAGTCTACTGCTATCATGGCTACCCCTAGTGTCCTCGCTTTTGACGCTGAGGGTCAGGCCATTGACTTTGACGTCTGGGTAGATGACCTGCAGCTTTTCTTACAGTGCGATAGGGCAGACAGACTCTCTCTCTTTGACCTCACATCTGGTGCCTCTCCTGCCCCTGCTGCTGATGCTGACGCCACTGTTCACTCACAGTGGGCCACACGCGATGCTGCTACATGTCTTGCTGTACGTCGCCACCTGCCTACCTCTGAGCATGCGCACTTGAGCAAGTACAAGAGTGCTCAGACCTTGTACGACGCTGTACTTGCACGCTACTCCTCCCCTTCCACTGCTGCACTGAGCCGCCTCATGCTACCATACCTCTAACCTGACCTTGCTGCCTTTCCCACAGTCACTGACCTCATTACGCACCTCCGCACTAGTGACACTCGCTACCGCGCTGCGCTTCCTGCTGAGTTCTGCGCCAAGAACCCACCCCCATGTACATCACCCTCTACTACATAGTCACCCGGCTCCCTAACTCTCTCCACGTAGTCAGGGACCACTTCCTCTCAGTTTGCCCCACCTTTCTCACCGTTGACCTCCTCGAGAAGGCCCTCCAAGCAGCAGAGAAGAGCATAGTCGCTGTAGGAGCCTCTCGTGGTGACCCTCGCACCCCCGTCTTTGAGGGGTGTTCCCCCTCCCCCATTTTGCCCTCTGTTGCCTCTGCTGCTGCGGCCGACCTCGTTGGTTTTGAGTCGGTCGGCGCTGCGTCTGCCCCTAGCGGGAGACGCCGCACCGGCAAGGGCAAGGGGGGCAAGGGCGCTGGAGGGGCTGGCGGGGGCGGTGGAGGTGGCGGTGGAGGCAGTGGAGGGGGTGGGGGTGGTGGTGGGAGTGGTGGCGGGGGTGGTGGTGTCGGTGGCAGCAGTGGTGGCGGAGGAGGCGGTGGCGGTGGTGGAGGTAGCGGAGGCGGATAAGGTGGTGACGGCGGCCGAGGCGGCGGAGGTGGCGGAGGCTGCAGAGGCGGCGGAGGCGGCCGAGGCAGCGGCGGCAGCAGTGGACCTGGTCGCGGCTCTTTGCAGAGGAGTGGCTCCGATGGTGGTACGCGCCAGCAGCAGCAGCGCAGCCGTAAGACCCTGTCCCCTCAGCAGCTTCGTGAGTGGTACGCTGCGCGTCAGCGCGGTGGGGGTACGGATCCCTGCACCTACATTCTCCGCACCGGCGACGGCGCCGGTGAGAAGTGCGGGGGTGCGCACTCCACTCAGCGCTGCTTTGGCCGCCTAACGGACGCTTGGCGTCACCAATTCCCTGAGGCCACTGAGATCCCTCGTTGCGGCGAGCTGTCTGGGGCGGGAGTAGCTATCTTTGACCTCGACTTTGATGCTATTCTTGCTGCCATGTATGCTGTGACTATTAGTGATGAGGGTGACTGTTACCGGTGTTTTCCGCCCGACCCGGGCATTGGGACTACTGCTCTAGGTAATGGTGAGGCTGCTGCTCTAGGTGCCAGCGAGGTTGCTGCTCTACGTGCTAGTGCGTCTACTTCCTCAGGTGCTGGTGAGTCTAATCTCTCAGGTACTGCGTCGGCTTCGGCCTCCCACACCTTCACCCTTGACTCGGGGGCTTCTCGCTCCTTCTTTTGAGACCGCACCACACTCACGCCGCTTGGTCGGCCAGTTGCAGTCTCTCTGGCAGACCCCTCTGGGGGTCCTGTCCTTGCTCACTTCTCCACAGTCCTCCCGTGTCCGGCGGCCCCCTCTGGCACCCTGTCTGGTCTTTACCTCCCCTCGTTCTCTACGAACTTGGTGAGTGGTGCTGACCTACAGGATGCGGGGTTGGCGCCTCACTGCACGGACGCTCGGACGGGTGACCCACTGCACGGACGCTCGGACGGGCAGACACTTGGCCACGTTTACACGTCGGCCGGGGTCGAGCCTGTACACACTGATCACTGAGTCTCCTCCAGTCACTGCGTCGCGTAAGGTAGATGCGTCGGGTCAGGTGTTTGCTACGGCGTCCAGGTCTGGTCCTAAGTCTGCCCCCTGTTCGTGTCGCCTACTGTCTCACGAGACTCTCCTCTGGCACCACCGCCTTGGTCACCCCTCCCTGCTTCGTCTCCGAGGCATGGCCTCCCGTGTCCTTGTCTCTGGTCTTCCCGGGTCCCTCCCTCCCCTTCCTCCGGGGCCTGCCCCTGCCTGTGTCCCCTGTGTCGAGGGGCGGCAGCGGGCTGCCCCTCACTCCTCCCAGTTTCCTCCGACAGAGGCCCCGCTGCAAACGCTTCACATGGACGTGTGGGGCCCGGCCCGCGTCCGTGGACAGGGTCACAAGCGCAATTTACTGCTGGTGGTTGACGACTACTCGCGTTACACCACAGTCTTCCCCTTGCGCAGCAAGGGTGATGTCACTGAGGTGTTGATCGACTGGATCCGCGCAGCTTGTCTCCAGCTCAGGCAGAGCTTCGGCTCGGACTTTCCTGTTCTGCGTCTGCACTCTGACAGAGGCAGGAGAGTTCTCCTCTGGCGTTCTGCGAGCCTACTATCGTGCACGAGGCATCCGCCAGACCTTCACGCTTCCGGACTCTCCACAGCAAAATGGGATTGCTGAGCGCCGCATTGGCATGGTCATGGACGTTGCCCGTACGTCCATGATGCATGCGGCTGCCCCCCATTTTCTGTGGCCGTTTGCGGTTCGGTACGCGGCGCATCAGATCAACCTTCAGCCCAGGGTCTCTATGCCGGAGACCTCCTCAGCTTTGCTGTGGACGGGGAAGGTTGGCGATGTGTCTGCGTTCCGTGTCTGGGGATCTCGGGCGTTTGTCCGCGACTTGTCTGCGGATAAGCTGTCCCCTCGTGCTGCTCCCTGCAACTTCCTTGGCTTCCCCCCTGACGCGCCAGGGTGGAAGTTCTACCACCCCACCTCTCGCCGTGTTCTGTCCTCCCAGGACGTCACGTTTGACGAGTCGGTCCCCTACTACCGCCTCTTCCCCTACCGCACTCCGTCCCTCCCCCTGCCACCGCTCTTCCTTGTGCCAGGTCCCCCCCCGGTAGACCCCCTCCCCCCTCAGGGTCCTGCCCCTTCAGGTGTGTCCCAGGTAGACGCAGTCGAGCCTGTTGAGGTTGCTGGTGACTCTGGTGCTGCTGAGGGTGCTGAGCCTGGGGGTGCTGACTCTGGGGGTGCTGAGCGTGTAGGTGCTACGCCTGGGGGTGCTGAGCATGAGGGTGCTACTACTGGGGGTGCTGAGCCTGGGGGTGTACGCGTGGGGGTGCTGAGCCTGGGGGTGCTTCGACTGGGGGTGCTGAGCCTGGGGGTGCTACGCCTGGAGGTGCTGAGCCTTGGGGTGCGGAGCCTGCGGGAGCTGGGCCTGCTCGTGTCGCGTCTGGCGGTACTGTGCCTGGAGGTTCTCCGGGTGCTTCGTCTCGGCTGGAGCCACTCTCTCCACAGGAGCTGCGCGAGTGGTTTGCCCGGCGCTGGAGGCGTGCTGCTGGAGCTGGAGGTTCTTTGGCTGCTGAGGGTGCTGGTGTCGCGGGTCCCGGAGGTGCTCGTACTGGGAGTATTGAAGCTGCTGTGCGTGCGCGTACGACTGGAGCTGGAGCTACTGAGGGTGTTAGCGCTGAGGCTACTGTTGTCGGTCCTGGAGGCGGTCCTGCTGGGGGTGCTACTGGTGCTGCTGGAGGTCCTGGAGCTACTGGAGCTGCTGGGGGTACTGGAGCTGGAGGTGCTGCTGGCGCTGGTGCTACCACTTGGGGTACTGGTGCAGTCCCTGCTGTGTCTGGAGTCGCCGCGCGGCCTCGGCCATACTTCATTCCGCTCCTTCAGCAAGTTCTTGGTCTCCCGCCTTCTACTCCTCCTCCCTTAGAGTGCCCACAGCCTGTCCCGTCACAGTTACAGTTACAGCCGGCCTCCCCACTGCCTGCTCCTTCTACCTACACTGGTCCTACTGGAGGTCTTGCTGAGCATCGTGAGCCTGCGTCGCCTATCCGTGCTGCTCGCACTAGTGGTCGTGGTTCGCGTCAGCGTCCTCCTCCTGTTCCTGGCACGCACCGGATGTCTCTGCGTCCGTCCACTCCTCCTCTGCGTGCCCCTTTGCCTTCTTCTCCTGAGTCCTCTCTTCCTGGTCTTCCCGACCCGGAGTCGGACTCTCTTCGTACTGCCAGTCCATGGACGTCGGGGCCGTCGGGGGCGGATTGTCGCAGATTGTCGCGACCCCGTCCATGGACGTCGGTCTGCATAGCAAGCGTCGATCTGGTAGCGTTTGCTTACCCGCCATCCCATCATCCCTCATGCCCACTCGTGCGCCCAGGTACGCTTGGTTTTGCAATGAACTGAACGACCAGAAGTTGTGGGTAATCGGAGTCGGCCCGCTTCGATCGGCCTTGAAGGCCGCAGACCATTCTTGCTTTGCTACGATTTTCGACGCCGACATCGCCGCCATCCCGTTAAGCACGACGTGAGCTGTTTCCCCGTTATCCAGTTATCGTTTTATTTAGTCGGTCGCATCATCGCCTAATGTTGTGGTCGACGCCGTCGTGTATTGCATGTGCAGCGGCGGTCCGCTTCCAGGGTCACACTGCAGCGTCATAGCCATCCTCTACCCAGGAGATCTGCTGAAGGCTGAGGGACAGGTCTGCAGGACCTCGATCCGGCACATCGACCTGCATACCGGGAAACTGAAGCACCGCGACGAGGCCGTCCGCGTGCTGAAGTAAGTTGTGAATAGTCGTCGATTTCCCGCTTGTTAGTCGCCGACCCAGGGTATCACATGCTGACCGCCTTCCTTTACCACGATGCTCCAGGCTATTCCGCACGGCAGTCCTGGCCGAGCTGGGGCGTCCCGGTAGGCAGTGGGACGGGGCACCGCTATCACAAGCAGTGGTGGAGGACAGGCTTGCCGACTGCGACCACCCTATCCGCGACGTGAGTTGCACGTTGCACGTTTATCCATTAAGGAGGGTGCACGTTTCTGTATGCTCCGCTCACAATGTTCTGCACTTGCCGGTGTTGTATGCAGAAAGTGCCAAACACAGTGTCGGACGAGAAGGTCGGCACCGGCATGCTTGCTGCGACGTCGTTCGGGTGGGTGGCCAAGCAGGTTGACCTGCTGACGGGCGAGAAGGGTCGTGGTGCGGTGAGACTCGAGAACATCAAGACAAAGGGGCTAAAGTCGTTGCGAGACAGCATGGTGGAGTACATCTGCAAGCGCATCGCCGAAAAACGCTCTGCGACGCCGACATCACAACCCACCGACAGTGTGATTGATGACGACGGCGCAGAAAGACTGACGGCGCCCCAAGCAGCAGTTGCCACCCAGCGCCAGGGGAACGCGAAGGTGTCCGCGGAAGGAGGAAACGGTGGTGGAGGAGGCAACGCTGCGACAGGTGGAGGAAGGAAGGAAGAGGAGGAGTCGGAGGAGGATTCGGAGTCGGAGTCGGAGTCGGAGTCTGAGGAGGAGGCGGAGAAGCGGAAGGACGAGGACGAGGAGGAGGAGGAGGAGAAGGACGAGAAGGATGACGGCGATGAGGAGGAGGAAGGGAAGGATGAGGAGGGGGAAGGGAAGGTTGGGGAGGGGGAAGGGAAGGATGAAGAGGGGGAAGGGAAGGATGGGAAGGGGGACGGGAAGGATGAGGAGTTGGTGGAGGAAGTGGTGGAGTACGAGGTGGAGTTCGAAGAGGAGGAAGCTACAGTAGAGGTGGTGGGGTCGGTGGATGAAAAGAATGAGGAAGTGGAGGATGGCGATGCGGGTAATGATACGAGGTCGGCAGATGGGGGGAAGGAGAAGGATGAGGTTGGCGTGGAGGCAATGACGGAAAAGGGCCAGGAGGAGGCGGCATGCGAAGGTGGGAAGGTGTCGGTCGACGCCGGCGAAGCGGCGAACACCACGGGCGTGCAGGAGACGGGGGACGCTTCTGATCGGCCGGGTAATGAGCTGGACGACGTCGAGCTGGTGCGAAGGGAGAACTGGTTGTCGAGGGCGGAGAACGCTCGGCTGGCGACGTTGCTCGATGCGGAGCAGGCTCGGCTGGACAGGTTTTTTGTTGGGATTCGTGGACTCGTCGACCACGTGAAGGAGTTGGCCGAGCAGGTCGACGACACCGAGAAGTATGCGGCGGAACAGCTGCGAAACGCGACGGCGGCCATGTCGAAGACAATCACGAGCAACATCACCGGCAGCTTTGACGAAGCGTGGAAGACGATGAAGACCTTCGCGGAACAGGAGACGGCGTGGTTGGAGGACTTCGACAACCCGCAGGGTCGTGTGGCAGTTGCACGCGCGGTAGCGATCGACGCGTTGGCCGAGCATGTGACTGGGGTGGTGGGCGAAGCGTAGCGCGGTTTGGAGCTGCACATCACGACGCAACTATCCGCCGCGCAGGTCAACATCGCCACCGCTGTGACCACCAGGCTCCCCGTGCAGCCGCCGCCACCGCCTCCGCCCACGCCGCCCGCCCTCCCGGGAAGAGCTCTTGAAGTCGTTCAAGGCCGACATTATGAAGGCGGTGACGGAGGCCACCCAGCAGTCTTTCGTCGCTTCCGAGATGAAGATGATGGCCGAGATGGTCGGCACTGTGGCGCCTGGTCGACGTGGGTCGTCGCCGACGGCCGATGACGCCGATCACGTGCAACGGAAGACGGCCGACAAGCAGGACCTGAAGAGGACGGGCGACGGAGACGACAAGGAGAGCGCGAAGGGCGACGCGAAGCGGAGCAAGGGATCGAACAGGAGCCGCGGCTCGAAGCCTGCGCCACAGAGCGTGGTCGACCAGTTGAAGACGAAGGCGGGGTGGAGGGTGATAAGGACGTCGAGCACCAAGGGTGGCGGAAGCGGGACGGCAGAGGGTGGCCCTGCCGATGGGGCTGCCGCTAACGTCACCGCTCAGCCAGGCCCGCCTTTGATTGCCGAGAAGACCCATCCTCAGGCGAGCGGTGGGAAAGTCGTGACCGACAAGGAGGTCCCAACTGCTCAGGCGGCGGAAGATGGCGGCGCCGGAACCACCAAGGGACCGTCCGTCGCTGTGGCGGCCAAGGGCAAGACGAAGGCTGCATCTGCTACGGTCGTCGGCACCACCAAGTGCCCTCCCAGTAACCCCCCTGCGGCTACCAGCGCACCTGCCGGCCAGTCAGGTGCGACCAAAGATGGGGAGGCCTGTGCGGCCCCTCCAGCTCCAGGAGCCCCGGCTGCCGTCAAGGGCGGCGCGAAGGCTGCTTCGGCTAAGGGCGCTACTCCGACATCAGCTAAGGGGCCCCCCGGTGCTGACACGCTCAGGGAGATGCTCCGCCGCATGGAGGCACATAGCAGGGACGTGCAGCAGCATCCCGTGGTCGACGCCGGCCTTGCCGGAACAGCACGTTGCTCCGTCACTCCGCAGGTTGCCGGCACATCGTCCGGGGCCCCACCTGCAGCGCATCCGGTCGCCGCCCCAGCGTCTGTAGACTCCAAGTCAGTGTTTCTGCGCGCCCATTTAGTCGGACGCAAAGCGGCTGCTCCACCGGTGACTCAGCAGGAACACGGCAAAGCGCGACGGCGACGTCGGTAAACGCGACTGCTCCCTCACCAGGTGCAGCTGTGGTCGATGCGGCGACGGAGAGGGGAGTGAGTGCAGCGCTAGCCACCGGCGGCCGCGCCGACAAGCATGCCGCACTCGCTGCCTTCCTGGCCCATTTTGATGCAGCAAAACGCCCTGAGCACGCCCCTGCTCTGGCCATCATGGACACGGCGCATGTGGGGCCGTCGGCGACCCACGGTGGGGGATCGGCAGAGCCGACGGCTGCAACGGGTGCTGTCGCCAAGAGTAATGCAGGAGGGAAGGGGAAGGTCGACACCGAGAAAGGGAGCGCGGTCTCTCAGAGGAGCACGAGGGCGATGTCGACGGGGAAGGAGATGTCGGAAGAGAAAGGGAAGAAGGCGGAAGGGAGTCAGGACAAGAAGGGCGGCAAGAGTAAGCCGGCGAAGAAGAAGGAGAAGGCGGAGGAGGATGACGAGGAGGGCGGCGAGGGAGATAAAGAACCCAGGGGGCATGGCATCCGCCAAGACAGGTCCGGCGACGGGCATGGGAGGGTGGGCGAGATTAAGGTAAACGGACGGAATCGATACATCGGCAAGTCGAGGGAGAAGATGGAGCTGGCCTACGAGCACGCGATTGCGTACGTCGTCTACGACGGCTACGTGAGCAAGGTGCTCATGAAGGAGCTCACCGTCTTGAAGCCGGGGGAGTTGGAGAAATGGAAGGAGGTGTGGGAGGAGGTCAAGTTCTTACCGACTGGGTTGTGGACGATGATGTGGGCCAGAGGCTTGTGCCATCCGAGAGCAAGGTAAGACGGCTACCGACGCGCCGAGTTCTGTCGACCATGTCGGTGTCATTACGCTGAAGTCGGTGTCGTTTTAATGTGTTTGCACGGCAGGATCGACAACATACTCGGCAGGTACCGTGGGTACGCGAGGTCGGGTGATGCGCTTCATGGGGTGCTGTGGCCGGCGATCTGGTTCCCCATCATTGAAAACACGGAGGAAGGCAAGGAGGAGACGGAGGCTCTCATGTCGGCGATGGTAAATCGCGTGTCGATGTGCGCGGCGTATGGGAAAGTCGCGGCGAGCGCGGCGTTTGGGAAGGTCGACGCGAGCGTAGAAGGGAATGCGGGAGAGAGGACGGAGATGGCGGCCCAGGCGTTAGCGGCATCTAGCATGCGCCCTCTGGTGCTTCGTGGAGACGGGAGCATCGTTGCTCGGTGCTGTGGGCGAAGGGAAGGCGGCGGCGATGGTGGCAGGTGCGGAGGAGGAGAGGGCCGAGGCATTCAAGAAGGTGATGCACGCGGTGATCGACTTAGCACGCAGTCGGGAGGCTCCCACGGGGGAGGTTGCCCATAACGTCGCGCCATTGCTGCAGCCCCACGCAGTGGTCAGGGCCTTCCAGGAGGGAGTTGAGGAAGTCGAGGCCGACATGATCGCCAGAGCAACGGTCGAGACCTTGGCGTTCTGGGGAATGTGCCCCGTCGCCGGGCCCAAGCTAAAAGAGCAGGGCATCGATGTGACGTGTGACGCGAAGATGGAGTACGATATGGATCACAAGCAGGGCAAGGGCAGCAAGAGGAAGAAGGGCAAGGAGGGCAAGGGCAGTACGGATGCGTAGTTGGCGGGCTGTGGTGTGCGGGATGCTATGGTATGGTTGACGCCGATGTCGTAGTAAATCTAATGACTTTTTTATCGTAGGGCACGAATCTTCTTCGTTTCTGTTTGCTTCACTTTGTTACTTGCTAGCCGTCTTTGAACGATGAGCCTTGTCGGCGCATCTGTCGACATCAATAAGAACATGCTACTCGGCGACGAGCTATGACTAGGTACATCTCGACAGCCTAGCAACATGCAAACCTGCGAGACGTCGACATCTATATGTGTTTTGATTAGTAATGAGCGACCGACTACATTTAACACGGCGGGATCAAGTAGGTTCGCAATGGCCTTGCTGTGGGTTGTTACAAACTAGCAGAACAGCATTTGAAAAAGAGGGGGGGGGGGGGGGAGGGGGGGTTTAAAGTCTGCCACAGTTAACAGCATCAAACTACGCACACGCATATCCTACAAGCGCGCTCATGCCAACTTCTTCCGCTTGGTCGGAGGATGGTGCACCGGAGCGGTCGGTTTGGGCGGTGCTGTCGACTTGGCCAGTGCCGTCGGCTTCGCCAGGTCGGCCTTGGTCTTCGGCATCTACTCCTCCCACGTGTCTGGAAACAAGGTTTCGACCCAATCACTCTGCTTCAGGTTGAGCGCCACAAGCGCACAGGCGAGGCGTGGCTTCGAGACCACCTTGGGGCCCAGCCCCTTGACTCCCATGCCAGCCTCTTTGGACAACATCGGTGCCGTTCCCGGTTTGAGCACCGTGAGGGCATCGGCGAAGGTCCCGATGCCCGATGCCACGATCTTGTGCAGTGTGTCGACCACGGCCTCGGTGTCGGCTTCGCCGTCGCTCGCGCGTAGCTGGCGCACCGCATCGATGACCTTCAGCATGCGGCGCACCCTCTTGTTGAGTGCACCCTGCGTCGCGCTGGCGAGGAGGGTGTGGCAGTCGATGAACCCCGGCTCGGCAATCTTATCGCAAAGCTGACGGGTGTCATTAGCAGTGGCGGAGTTCCAGAGGCGCCAGGCGTCCCTCACGGTCTTGGCCTCCCGCCACGGTTGTACCACGTTGAGCTCGTAACTAGCCTCCTCGTCCGTCTGTGGGGGTGGCGGGGGTTTGTCGTCCCCCTCCGTCAGCGTCGGCTCCCATGTTGGCCGAATCCGCCGAGCCACCCTCGCTGGGAGATTGCGCGGTAGCACACGGCGGGGCCTCCGGCACTCTCCGTGCTTCTGACACACGGAGTGCCTCGGTGAGACGGGTTATCTCGGCGGTGAGAGACACGATGGTGTCGTCGCGCTTCTCGAGTTCAGCCTGGAAGTCAATCTTCTCGTTCGCGGCGCGCTCGATCACCTTCGTCAGCGTCGCCTTGAGGGATATGTTGTAGTACTCGGTGTCCATGTGGACAGAGATTTCCTGTAGTGGTAGGACAAAGACGTTAGCTGCGAGGTGGTTTGGAATGCCCTACATCCAGCTCGTCGTCGATTTACCTCTGCCTGAATTTGGGTCGGGTCCCGATGCTTGTTGATCGTCTCGGTGTCGACCCTCTCGACTCGTTTCGCCCAGTGCTGGAAGAGGGGGATCCGGCAGAGTAGGGAGCCTTGGACGTACGGGTGCCATGGTGTGCGGACCAGCTTCACCGCTAGGTCCTCGGCGACGATGCGGCGCAGCATCGCGCGTGTGCTGGTCTCCACCGGCGGAATGAGGCGGACGCCGTGAAACTGGCCGATCTGGTCGAGGATGAAGTGCAACCACAGGCCCGTCTCGCCGACGGCGCACAACTCCGCTTCGAGGTGCCGTGCAGCGTAGCTTTGCTGCAAAGGCGCATCCTTGGACGTCTTCGAGTTCCGCGCAGCGATGACCATGACGACCGGCTGGTTCTCCGGGTTCACCGACGAGGTGCTCGCCAGTCGGTACAAGAATATGTCGGGGAGCGTGATCTTGCGGATGCTTGCGCCGCGCAGGAGAGAATGGTGGGAGAGTAGCGTGAGCACCTTCAACAGCAGAAACCGCCACAGCGTCTGCGACGGGCCCGTACCCCGCGGGTTCCAAGCCTTAGCCGCCCACGTCGGCAGCACCCTTAACATGATCTGGCGGAACCGTTCTGCGGTGTAGGTATCGCCAATGGTTCCGCGACGCCGATCGGTGCAGTTCCTGCCGACAATGCCGAGGGTAAGGGGCATTTAGGGAGACGTCGACATAGTACATGACAACAAGAGAGAGGTCGACAGAGGTTAAACAAAAACTCACTTGAGGCCCCGCTCGTTTTTGGTGCGGATCATGAACCGCACCTCCGACCTGACCACCAATATCTCACGCATGATGCTCAACTCCGTCTCCCGTTATATCGTCGCCTCCACTCTCGCCGCCATCTCGCATGCCTTTATGTGCCCGAGGAGCGTGTGCACCGTTGTAGATTGCACAGGCTGTGTTCCTGTGGCGTTGTCGCCCTCCTTGCTGGACTCGGCATCGAGCTTCATCTCCCGAACCATGTACTTCATGTATGCGCAAAGCCGGGACGTGGTGACCCTAGGGCCGTGCAGCCACACGTGCGACCGGGGGACATCGGCCTCTTGGTCCCAGTTCTTCTTCTTGTTGTCTCGGATGTACTGCCCTATCTCGTCGACGTGCTTAAGCCTATACTCCTGGGGAAGCTTGTTACGAATTTGCATCAACATCTTCGCCGCCCACCTCTTGTAGTGATAGATCCACGAGGTGTACTGCCTCAGCGTGCTGTTCCTCTCCACAGTCTGCAGGTGGCGTAGGGCGTCCAAGACGAGCACGTCGATGGTCGCGTACACCATGTCTTCCTCGACAAAGTCTGCCGCTCTCCACTGTTCGTGCGGCACCGACAAGTTCTCCTGGTCGGCATCCTCGTCCTGTTCGAGCAGATCATCTATGTATTCAAGTTCCCGCCTGAGCTCTTCTTCCAAGGTGCGCTGACTAGTGCTACACGGCGGATGCTCGTCGTTTTCGTCATCGCTTTCCTCCTCCTCCTCCTCCGCCCCATACTCCTCCTCTTCGACCTCAACTTGGTTTCCAGTGCCGGCCGGTGCCGACGAAGTTCCTGGCCGTCCATTTCGCGTCGGATTCTGTTTCTTTTTCTTGTTGATCTCCCCGATCGACGGTGGGGGAATGTCCTTGGTGAACTCCCCTTCCGGAATCTGCGTCAGCTTGTCAAGATCGTAGAGTAAGGGGAGCGTCTCTTCCTCGGTAGATGTCGGACTGTGGTCGGTGGATGGTCTAGCGTCAGTCATGTCGACGTCGGCCATGTGGCAGCACGTATGTTGCTCTACCGTCGTCCGTTTGCGATGCAGAGGTCGGTAAACCAGAGACGGTACTGATTCACGGGTGCGGTGTACGACCGAAGAGTAGCGCGGCGGTCTTCCTCTATATAACGTTCAATAACATCTAACTCGTGTTCGACCTCGTTATTGTTTTGGTCGGTAAACCAGAGACGGCAATGAGTCACGGGTGCGGTGAACGCGCGTAGAGTTGCGCGGCGGCGGTCTTCTTCGAATTCTCGCTCAAGTGCGTCTAACTCGGCTTCGACCTCGAGCCGTTCCAACTGCGCTTTGATGTCGGCGTCTACAGAGTCGGCAGGGGGTGGAATGGGTTGCGGCTGTCGTGCTCTAGGGCGACCTCTGGCCATGCGTCGCCGACTGACGTCGACGTCGACGTCTACTGACCAAAGTCGGCAACCGAGTAACCTACTGGCAGCTAAAAATTCTAAGTGCATGAGAGAGCAGGAAGAAACGCAGGAACGGACATGGGAATGAGCAGGCCCGCACGGTCACGGACGGGTATGGTCCTGAGCGACTCCGATGCTGCTGCGATTCACGCACACCCTTATGCTCCTGCCACCGTGCATGTGTTCTCGCATAGGCGGCGCACTGCCCGAAGTGCCACACGCCAAGCATGGCTATTGTGACTTCGCGCTGCACCGAAGGGGCGTAAGCTAGGCCCTTTCCACGGTGGAATGGGCGTGTGTTACGTGGCTTGGGGCCGACATTGGCCTCTCAGTACCGAAATTACTGCATGCAGGCTCGAATCTCCCAGGGTTCCGGAATTCTTGAATCCCACCGTGGCAGTCCTATTGTGTGCGCCCAAAGATCGGCGCCGACTTACATTCGGCGCGCTTGGTTGTTTCCTTAGGTTCATTGAACATAGGCAACGTTGGGATTGTGCCGCGTGGCTTGGTTGTGGGCCTCTGGATGTAATGGCCGACACCGACATCGCATGCAACACGCGATGCCACAGAACAGTTACATCCTGGACGGTCCGATTTTTGCCGCGTGGATTGAGCTGGCCCATTTTCAAAGGTGTGAATGTTTTCCCGCTTTGGGAAAATCACCGCTTGGGCGACGCGTGGCCACGACGGCCACGTCGTGGCAGCCTAGTACACGGTGGGGACGGTCCGGCTCCCCCCTATTGGTCCGCATGGTGGCAGTCGCGGCTCGACGTGGCGAGCTTTCCTATTTTGTCCGCTGAGATTTACTTCTCAGGAATCTCCCAGCGCAAACGTATGTCGTCGGATTGTCGACATTCCCGAGGGCTCCCGAGGCCCCTGGGACGCCATTTGGGCCCAGCTTGGAGCTCGGAGGTCATCGCGAGGTCGTCAATCCCGAGGGGGGCCGTTGTCCCTTCTGAACCGCAAAATTGGGCGGTTTTTTTCGTCGGCTGAGGTATATCATCCCGTTTCCGACGAACCTCACTACTTGAGATTCGACCATATAATTTGGTTAACAGATGATTTGGACCGAACACCTTAGCCGAACAAGGTCGTCAGGATGAATTTGCCAGTGTCGTCGACGAGGGTCGTCAAAGCCTCGGCTGACGGGGCGGAGCACTGACGCGCGTGCGGGCCCGCCAGCCTGGCCCAGGGCTGGGCCGAGCGCACGACCGCCGCCCCGCAGCCCCGCTCCGAATGTGAACAGGCCCACGTTACCGGGTGGGGTCGGCGAACTGGCGACAGCTCGCGCGTGGGAAAATTACCCTCGCGCGAAGGCAGCCCACACGGGCCACCTGCCCGCGATGTCCTAGTAACCCATCGCGGCCTGCCCGGACGGGCAGGCGAGGGCCAGGCGAAAAGTCGGGGCCCCCTCGGGACACTCGACAACTTCGCGACCCGTTGCGGTGACGCCACGTGTTCGCCCGCCTACTTCGCATCGGGCAACATGCAGAATTTGGTACATGGCGAATTCGATTTGGGACATTGCGAATTCGACTTCGATCGCTTCGCGGCGCACATTTTTCGCTTCGTGACGTGACATCGACTTGCTGGCTCGGCGGCGAACGAGAACTTGTGCCACTTGTGCACGAGCCCGCCAAACCCCGCCGAGGCAGGCACCACGAGGGCCGGGCGATGCCTCGACCGTTCCTGTGGGGCACCGACCCCCTTTTTTTGGTGGAAGGGGGCATCGCTCCTCATTTTCGGCATCTCGTTTCCCTTTCCACCTTTTCCCCAGCTCTGCGCCTTCTCCCACATTCACGTCCCTTAGCCTGTAGCCGCTTCCCTTCACCGCCATGTCGGCCGCCCCGAAAGTCGGCGAAGTGACGCCGACTTCGCAGGACTTCCCTCTGTATCTCGACCTGGGTAGTGGACTCACTGCCAAGCTCGTCGAACACGACTACGCCGTCCTCGTAGACCATAGGCTAGAGTTCAACGCCCGTTGCTTGGGATTCGGCCTCAAGTGAGTGTCCGTATTGGGATGTCGACGTCGACCGCTGGATACCTTGCAGGTCAACGTTGTTAGGGTTGTCCCACGTTTTGGTCGGCGCTACTAGTTTAGGGTTTAGATCACTACTCGGTGACGCACACAGCCGTAGGTCGGCACCGGACCCCGATCACTACTACAGTAGGTCGGTGCCCGCATCGGTAGGCGCCATTGATTACAACGTAGCGACGGTGGTGCACCGTTCTACTATCGCCATCCCCGTCAGTTGTCGGTTCCATAACCCACGTGTCCATCCGTCGTGCCGTGCACGTCCTCAAACACATCTACTACCCATTCATGCGTGCAGGTACGCATGGATTCGCGCGGCGCCGGCCAACATGCGATTGTGGTCGATAGGACTCGGCCGGCTTCGGGCGGCGATGGGCAAGGAAGACCACTCGTGCTTTGCTACGGTGTTCGACGCCGACGTAGCTGTTATCCCTCTGTATTCGAGGTGAGCCCAAGTCATGATGGTGTGCCATGATGCCTATGTCGCTGCTCCGTTCTGATCGACGTCGTGGTGCCTAGCCTGTGCAGCATCGCACCGCTTCCAGGGGCACATTGCAGCGTCGTGGTCATCCTGTACCCCGGCGACTTGTTGCGGGCCGGGGGGGAGACGATCAGGACCTCTGTCAGGCACTTTGACCCGCAAACCGTGAAGTAGTGGCACCGCGACGAGGCGATCCGCGTGCTGAAGTGAGCTCGATAGTGTAGTCGACGACGCATGCAATTTCGCCGCTGGGCGTTAAGCAAGTCTACTGACGATATGTGCCATGTTGCTTCAGGTTTTTCCGAGCGGCGGTGCTGTCCGAGCTCGACCGCAATGGCCGGCAGTGGGAGTGGCCGAAGCCTTCTGCTGAAGAGGTGGCGGACAGGCTCGCCGACTGCGATGAACCCGTTCGAGATGTGATTACCGATCGTTTTACCGTCCTAGCGCGATGCCATTGCCGCCGTCGGTGCTCATCCTTGCTCTCTGCTCTGTTGTTTGCAGAAAGTGCGCGACACCGTCCGGGACAGCGACGCAGGCTCTGGCCTCCTATCAATGAGCGCGCTGTGCTGGGTGGTGAAGAGGATGGATCGCCTGACCGGCGACGACCGTCGCAGTGCGACCAGCATGGACAAGGTCCTCGTTTCGAGGTTGAAGGATCTGCGGATTCGGATGATCACATACATCAAGGAACACGTCGCACGAAAACGGTCAGGCCATGTCGGAGTTGCTGCCAATGCCTGTGACGACGACGCCGCGGAGGCCCCTTCGGCATTCCAAGCAGTCGGGGTCGCCGACACCAGCGGAGAGGCCGGAGACGGCGTCGACAAGGCAGATGAGAAGGCAGAAAGGTCTGTGGCGAGGACCGTGGATCAGGAAAAGGAGGAGGAGGATCGTGAGGAGCGTGAGCAGGGGCATGGGCAGGAGGAGGAGGAGGAGGAGGAGGAGGAGGAGGAGGAGGAGGAGGAGGAGGAGGAGGAGGAGGAGGAGAAGGAGGAGGATGAGGAGGAGGATGAGGAGGAGGAGGAGGAGGACAAGGCGGCGGCGGCGGCGGAGGCCGTGGAGCAGGGTTTCGGGTCGGTGGAGCAGGTGGCGGAGGGGGAGAAGCAGCAAGAGGGGGAGGAGGAGGTAGAGTTCCCCTGGGTCGAATTCGAGATGGAGGATGTTGAGGGAGCGGCGGCGGTGGCCGTGGAGGGAGCGGCGGCGGCCGTGGAGGGAACGGGTGGGATGTCGGCGGATGTTGTGTACGTACGAGGGGAGGGTGCCGATGTGGAGAATGTCGGCGTGGAGGAGGCGCACGTGGTCGGCAATGTGGTTGGCGACGCGAAGGAGGAGGATAACGCCGCGGCCCCGACGCCGACGGGCGTGGAGACCACCACAGGGAACGCAGGGGTGGAACGCCGGGGTGGAGCGGTAGAGGCGGGCCGTCAACCGGGTTCCTCAGCAGCTGGTCGGCAGGCAACGCCGGCCGTCGTCGCGCAGCTGCGACAGGAGAACATGTGGCTGAGGGCTGAAAATGCTCGTCTCGAGACGGCGCTCAGAGTGGAGAGGGGTCGGGTGGACAAGTTTGCGATGGGGATTGGCCACCTCGTGGACAAGCTCAGGTCGTTGGCCGACCAGGTCGCCGCCTCCGATCAGGATGCGTCGAGTCGGCTGATGGATGCGTCCTTGACCATGGCGACGACCGTCACGGAGAACATCACCGCCAACATGGGTGAAGCATGGGATGCGATGAAGGCGTACGCCGAGAGGGCGGAGTGCTGGTTGGACTATCTAGAGAATCCGGAGGGGTTTATGGCGGAGCAACGTGCGAACGCGGTCGTCGCCATGGGCAACCACGTGGACGAAGCGAGGAAGGGATTGGAGGAATACATATCGAAGCACCTAGTCGCCGCGCAGACCAACATCGCCGCCGCGGTAACTCAACGCGTCGCCGTCCCGCCGCCCACGCCGCCCGCCCCACCGCCAGCCTTCCCGGACGAGCTCATGAAGTTTTTCAAGGCGGACGTGTTGAAGGCGGTGACTGAGGCCACCGAGCAGTCGTTTGTTGCGTCCGGGTTAAACCTCATGACCCAGGTGATCGGCCATCTGGCACCTGGTCGGCATGGGTCGTCGCCGTCGGCCAATGAGGCCAACAAAAAGGGTGCGAAAAGGGCGGGCGGCGGAGATGATGCGTTGAGCTCGAAGCGGAGCAAGGGAGCCGCGGCGTCGGCCAGGTGGGTCCAGGCGGCTCGCGGAGCAAGGGAGCCGACGGGAGCGGAGGTACGAGCGTGGTCGACCAGCTCAAGAAGAACGGGGCCAAGGTGATAAGGACGCACAGCAAGGGCGATAGAATCAGGAGTGCGGAGGGGGGCCCTGCCGACCAGGTTGCCGCTCAAGAGGCTGGACCAACAGCCCCGCCATTGGTCGCCGAGAAGCCGGCCAGTCTAGCGACCGCACCAACGGCGATAGATGGCGGCGCCAAAACCGTCAAGGGACCGTCCGGCGGAGTGGCGGGGACCACGTCGATCCCCCGCAACCCCCCTGCGGCTAGCAGCGCGCCGATCGCCCCGTCAGCCGCCAACAACGATGGGCCGTCCCTTGCGGCTTCTCCAGCACCAGCAGGCACGTCTGGCGCCAAGGTTGACGCGGTGGATGCTGCGGCTAACCGCGCTGGTCCGTCCGCCCCAAAGGCGAAGGCGCTCAGGGAGATGCTCAGCCGCATGGAGACCCATCGACAGGACGTGCAGCAGCCTCCCGTGGTCGGTACCCCGCCGGCCACAACAGCACGTCGCTCGGTCACTCCCCATGTCGCCGCCACAACGTCCAGTGTCCCACCTACCGCGCCTATCGTCGCCGCCCGACCTCCTGTGGACCCAAAGTCCGAGTTGCTTCGCGCCCGGTTAGGCGCACGTACTTTGGTAGCGCCCGCACGGGCTCAGCCTGTATCCAGCTCATGCGCGACGCCGACGTCGGTGACCGTAGGTGCATACACACTCGGTGCGGCTACTGTCGAGGCGGTGGTGGAGAAGGGCGTGAGTGCAGCGCTAGCCACGGGCGGCAGATCTGTTGACCCTGCACAGGCGGCGAAGGACCACAACGACGCCGATATCGCTGCCATCCAGGACCTGTTGGAAGCCGTAAACCGCCCCAAGAAGCCCCCTGTGCTGGCCATCTTGGACTCGGCGAGTCCCACCGGTTGTACAGCGGAGCCAAAGACGACCACTGCTGCGGTCGGCGCGGGAAAGTCGAAACGGAAGGGGACGGTCGACGCAGGGAAAGCGAGGCCGAGCTCGAAGAAGAAAACACGGGCGACGTCGGCGATGGTGAAGTCGGTGGAGAAAGGACAGGGGATGGCGACGGCGATGGTGAAGGAGAAGGCGGCGGAGAAAGGGAAGGAGAAGGAGAAGGAGATGGAGGAGAAGAAGAAGGAGGAGAAGAAGGAGGAGGAGGAGAAGGAGGAGGAGAAGGAGGAGGAGAAGGAGGAGGAGGAGGAGGAGGAGGAGAAGGAGAAGGAGGAGGAGAAGGTGGAGGAGGCGGAGGTGGAGGAGGAGAAGGCGACGACGGAGGAGGAGAAGGTGAAGGTGAAAGAACGGAAGGGTCATGGCATCCGCCACGACGCCACGGGCGACAAGCAAGGGTGGGTGGGCGAGATTAAGGTGGTCGGGAACAAGAGCAGATACATCGGCAAGTCCCGCGAGAAGATGGAGCTGGCGTACCTTCACTCGATTGTGTACCTCCTGTACGACGGTTACGTCAGCAAGATCCTCATGGCCGAGCTCACCGGCTTGGAGGAAACAGTGATGAAGCAGTGGAGGGCGGTGTGGAAAGAAGTCCGGTTCTTGCCGACTGGGATGTGGACGGTGATACGGGCACGGGGCGCGTTCCTCCCAAAGACACGGTAAGTCGGATAAACGTCGGCCAAGCGATGATGTCGACGTCGGCGTTCCTAACTGGCCAGTTTCGTGTGATTGCGTGACAGGTTCGATGATATCCTCGGGAAGTATCGAGCGTACAAGACATCAGGCGATGCGCACCACGACGCGCTTTTGCCCGCGATCTGGTTCCCCGTCGATGCCGACACGAAGGAAGGGAAGCAGAAATCGGATGCAATGATGTCGGCCATGATTGATCGCGTGTCCTTGTGCGCGGCGTATGGGAAGGTCGCTGCATCTGCGGCGAGAAAGGAGGGCGACACGGATGAGACGACGGCGAAGGTCGCACAGGCGCTATCGGCCTCCGCTTGCGCCCTGTGGTGCTTAGTCGAGGGCGACGGCGCCCAGGTGGCTGATGCCGTGCGCGAAGGGAAGGCGGCGGCGATGTTGGTCGGCGCGAGTGAGAGTTCCGCGGCCGAGTTCAAGAAGGTCATGACGGCGGTGCTGGAGGCCGCGATCAGCAGGCAGCAACCCCTCGGAGAGGTTGCGCACAACGTCGCACCTGCGCTGGAGTCCACCGCTCTGGCCAAAGCCTATCCGGGGTTGGATGTTGATGCCGAGGCCAAACAGATCGCACGAGCGACTGTGGAAACCCTCGTGTTCTGGGGAATGTGCCCGTGGATGGGCCGAAACTCAGGAAGATCGGCATCGCGGTGCCGCTTGACGCGCAGATGGAGTACGATATCGAACACAGGGGGAGGAAGAGGCAGAGGGGCAAGTAGGGCAAGGATAGCTCGGGGAAGAAGGGCAGAGCGGGCAAGGACAGCACGGCGGCGTAGTCGGCATAACAATCTGCCATGGGCGGCAGGAGGGAACGCAAGTAGGTCTTCTTGCTAGGATGGCCTGGTATGGGCGGCGTCGATTGTGTAGTTTTCGTTTGGATTTTTTTCGTTTGATTGTATATTTTTCGATGGGATTTCTTTTCGTTTGTGGTTGCGTATTTCTTTTGTTGGCTGTAACTTTTTGGTAGTGCATGTTACTAGAACACTCCTCGGCAAGGTCGACCTGATCTCTACCATGTTACTCAGATGCGGGCCCGGTTCGATGAACCCCGTCGGCGTATAACAACTCGGCGTCGTACGGTGTCGACATAGTGCGTCTGGCTGTATGCATGTATATACTCGGCGATGAGCCTCGTCGGCTAGACCGAGATGGTCAATGGTCGGCGCTTTGGGGAATGTGCCGCGCCGCCCAGGTGGCCGAAACTCTAGGAGGTCGGCATCGATGTGCCGTTTGACGCGCATATCGAGCGGGCAAGGACAGCACGGATGCGTAGTCGGCGCGCGGAGGGAGCGCTAGGTTGTATGATTGCTCGGTTATAGCGTGATCGGCGCCGTTTGCGCCGTTTGCATGCAGTCAGCGATGTCGACATGAATAAGGCACAATGAATTGCACGCACATGGTGGCGACTATGTCGGAGTCCGACATATCTGGTTCGGATGTATGTGTGGGATCATGTATGTTCGTGTTGCATCACCATCAACAAGTACGATGGGATCACTACGGTTTGCTAAATTAGGGCATCATCAACCTACGCTAACACATATGCACCGAGGATCTTCATGCCGACTTCTTGCGCTTTGACGGAGGACGCTGCGCAGGTGCGGTCTGCTTGGCCAAGTCGGCCACGGTCTTCGGCATCTGCTCCTCCCAGGTGTCTGGAAACAGGCGGTCGACCCACGTCGTCGGCTTCAGCTCGAGCGCCACCAGCGCACACGCGAGGCGTAGCTTCGAGACCACCTTGGGGCCAAGGCCCCTTGACGCCCATGCCAGGCTCCTTGGACATTGTCGGTGCCGTCTCCGGGTTGAGCACGGTGAGGGCATCGCAGAAGGTCCCAATGCCTGGTGCCAGCGATCGCGTTCAGTGCATCAACCACGACTTCGGTGTCGGCATCGCCGTCGCTCGCGCGTAGCTGGCGCACCGCATCCATGGCCTTCAGCATGCGGCGCACCCTCATGTTGAGTGCACCCTGGGTCGCGCCTTTGAGGAGGGTGTGGCGGTCGATGAACCCCGGCTCGGCGACCCTATCGCAAAGATGACTGGTATCATTGGCGGTGGCGGAGTTCCAGAGGCGCCAAGCGTCCCGCACGGTCTTTGAATCCCGCCAAGGTTGCACCACGTTGAGCTCGTAACTGGCCTCCTCTGCCGTCTGGGGGGGTGGCGGGGGTTTCCCATCATCTCTCTTGGCTCCGGTCACCGTGTTGGCCGAATCCGCGGAGCCACCCTCGCCCGGAGCTTGCTCGGTCGCCGACGGCGGCGCCGCCGGCATCCTCCGGGCTTCTGACACACGGAGTGCCTCGGTGACTCGAGCAAGCTCGGCGGTGAGCGACGCGATTGTGTCGTTTTGCATCTCGATCGTCTCCTGAAGGCCTAGCTTCTCGAGCGCCGAGCGCTCAACCTCCTTCTTCAGCGCCTCCTTGAGGGACATGTTGTGATACTGGGTGTCCATGCGGACGGATATTTCCTGCAATGTTGAGTGTGCGGAAAGGCGACAAGAGGTTAGAATTCACCGGCTAAAATTCAACGACGCCGACATGGTCGGCGACTCACCTCCGGCTGAATCTGAGTCGGGTCCCGGCGCTTTTTGATCGTATCGGTGTCGACCGACTCGACCCTTTTCGCCCAGTGCTGGAAGAGGGCAATCCTGCAGAGCTTGGAACCTTGGACGTACGGGTGCCACGGTGTGCGGACGAGCTTCACCGCGAGGTCCTCGGCGACGATGCGTCGGAACATCTCGAGGGTGCGCAAGAAGTGCACTGCGGCTGCATCGGCGTCGCTCCCGTTGACGGCACGCGTCTCCGCCTGCAAGTCGGAAAGTGGCGTGGGTTAGTAGGGAGTTGGCCAGCCAACTAGGCCACGACGACTGAAAAACATTGTCGGCGTCGCGTGACATACATCGCGCAGCATAGCATCCACGCCGGGGAAGATGTGCTCGGCGAGCAGGTCCAGGAGTTTGTCGGAGGGCTCGACCCTGCTGCGCCCCAAGAAGTAGTCTTGCTTGAGTCCCGAGTAGCCGGCCTTCCGCATCACCACCCCAACGGGAATGGCCGTGATGTACGCACGCGTCATCTTGTCGAGAGCCCAGTGTCCCAGCTCGGCGATCTCCGCGCGCGGAGTTTCTCCGATGGCTAGCTCCTGCGCGCCTCCGGCGCGGGCGGCGTGCACGTTCCTTTTGCAGAACACCTTGTTGGTCGTCCACATCTGCCGAGTCCAACGTTGGTGGGTGGTGGCGGGGAGCTCCTCCTGCTCCTTGTCGTTTTTGGCGAAGAAGAGATGCTTCTTGTACCAGCATTCGCGTTCTGTGGTGTCAAGCGGCGGAAGGAAGTCGGTGCCGGAGAACTGACCGATCTGGTCGAGGATGAAGTGCAGCCACAGGCCGGTCTCGCCGACGGCGCACAGCTCCGCTTCCAGGTGTCGCGCAGCGTAGCTCTGCTGAAGACGGGCATCCTTGGAAGTCTTCGAGTTACGCGCGGCGATCACCATGACGACCGGCTGGCTATCCGGGTTCACCTCCGAGGTGCTCGCCAGGTGGTACAAGAAGACGTCGGGTAGCGTGATCTCGCGGATGCTGGCGCCGCGCAGGAGAGAGTGGTGGGAGAGTAGCGTGAGCACCTTGACGAGCAGGAATCGCCACAGCATCTGCGACGGAGTGGTTGCCCTCGGGTTCCACGCCGCCGCCGCCCATGTCGGCAGCACCCTCATCATGATCTGGCGGAACTGCTCGGCGATGTAGGTATCGCCGATGGTGCCGCGTCGACGGTCGGCGCAGTTCCTGAACGCAAATCGGCGTGGAAATTCTGTTAGACTGCGTCGACTTCACAGTGCACAGTGATATAGAATAAGGTTGTCGACCAACTTACTTGATGTCCCTCTCGTTCTTGTGGCGGACGTTGAACCGCACCTCCGATCTGACCACCGAGATCTCCCTCATGATGCCCAGCTCCTTCTCTCGGTACAGCGTCGCCTCCACCCTCGCCGCCATCTGGCATGCCTTTATGCGCCCGAGGATCTTGTGCACAGTTGTCGACCTCACAGGCCCCGTTCGCGTGGCATTGTTCTCCTCCCTGGGCTGGTCAACAATGAGGTTACACTCACGGCTCATTTGCTTCACGTACGCGCGCAGCCGGGTTTCGGTGACCCTAGGGCCGTGCAGCCAGATGTACTGTCGGCGGACCACTTTCTCGTTGCACCAATCCTTTTTCTTGTTGTCGCGGATGTAGTGGCCGATCTCGTCGACGTGCCTAAGTCGTTGCTCATGGGGTAGCTTGTCGCGTATCTGCTTCAGCATCTTCGCCGCCCACTTCTTGTAGTGGTAGATGAACGCGGTGTACAGCCTGAGCGTGCTATCCTTCTCCAAGCATTGTAGGTGTCGTAGGGCGTCCATTATGAGCACGTCGATGCTGGAGTACACCATGTCGTCCACTACAAAGCCCGTCGCCTTCCACCCTTCGCGCGGCACCGCCATGTGCTGATTGTCCTCCTTCTCGTCCTATTCGAGCATGTCATGTATGTATTCAAATTCCCGCCTAAGGCGTTCTTCCAAGGTGCGCGGATTCGTGCTACGCGGAGGACGGTCGTCGACTTCGTCGTCGCTCTCTTCCTCGTCCTCGTCGTCGTCATCACCATGGTTTTCCGAGCCGGCCGGCACCGACGAAGGTCCAGGCTGCCCATCTGACGTCGGTGTCGACTTCTTCGTAAACTCCCCTATTGGCGGATTCGGTATGTCCTTGGTGTACTCGCCTTCGGGAATCTGAGTCAGTTTGTCAAGATCGTAAAGCAACTTCAGCGTCTCTACGGGGGCAGAGGACGGACTGTGGTCGGTTGGGGTACCAACGTCGGGCATGTCGACGTCGTCCATGACCGCTCGTATGCTCTACCGCCGGCCGTGGAAGAGGGAAAGATTGGTAAACCAGAGACGGAAGTGATTCACGTCGACGCCTGAGTGCCGACCTAAGTCTATTCCAGGTCGACGCCTGAGTGCCGCAGCTCGGTCGACTCGGCCGTCGAGTAACCTAGACCCGCAGAGATAGCGACGGTCCTGTGAAGAAAACGAAGTGCCAGATGGCGCACAGGAGCATGAGAGAAACACGAAGCTGAACCGGCAGAATGAGAGCGTTGTGCGTGGTCAAAGAGGGGTATGGTTGCGGGACACTGCGCACCTGCTGCGCTCCACGCAGCCCTCTTTGCAAGCGCCGCAGTGCACGTGCATGACGTGTCACGATCGATGCATGTCTACTCTGACGCCGCTCTGCGCTCAACGGCACTCCCGCCGGTGCCTTGCCACGGTGGAATTCACGTGCGCCACTGTGCAATAGGCCAATCACCTAGTTCCACTCTCCCGAAATGCCGTAGCGTCCTGCTCTCCCGCGCAAACCTCATCGACCTGCGAGTAGGCGCGTGGCCGGAGGGCTGGTCGACGCCGACATTCCCTGAGTCTGGGGCTCTATTCGCCTATGCATTGTTTGGTCCGCACAGAACCATCCGCGTGGGTCGTGCTGCTGCGGTTGGATCTTCGGGCGACACCGACATCTCAATACCCCGCGTTCTCTGGCTATCTAGGTGGTGGACACATGCCAGTCGTCTTTCGCCGCGTGGACGATGGTTACATGTTTCGTCGGCGCGCCAAGTTTCGCGCACAGCGAAATATACCCGGTGGTGCGAAGCAGGGCCACGTCGGCGCCGTCGTGGCACCTCCCGATTGTCAGGCTCGATCTCGGCCGTCCCTATTAGGCCACGTGGCCGTAATCGCGGTTCGGCGCACGACGTGTCGACCTGTGGTTCAGGGCCCGCTGAGATATCCTTCTCGGGTTTCTCTCAGCGAAACCCGAGGTCGTCAGGTTGTCGACAATCCCGAGGGGTTCGGGGCCCCGGAGGACTGCCAGCTCGCCCCAGTTTGCCACTCGCAGGTCGTCAGGAGGTCGTCAATCCCGAGGGGGTTCGTTGTCCTATCGCAACCGCGAAATTGGGCGGCTGTTTTCGTCGGCTGAGGTATATCATCCCTTCGTTTTGAACTCGGACTAAGAAGGACACGCACCCGAGTTAGCTTGTTTTTAAGGGCTTTCCAAAAACCACCTAGTGAAATCCAGGGCTCCTAAAAAACACCTTCTAAATTCATTCAAAACAGGGTAATTGCCCTGCTAACGTAGATCCTGTTGGGGAGGTGAAAGTCGAGTAAGGAGTCAGCTAAGTCAGGAGGAGTCACAATACCCGTGTTCTTGCCCTTCGTCAGCAAAGTACGACTACTCGCAATAATGTACGTTCTCTCCCTGAGTCAGCAAAGACCAGGCGCGATCCTTGTGTTTCCTACCGAACCGGCGAGAGTTCCCATTGTGCAAGATGCGTAATCTTCGCTCATGCATTCGCTCACGTAACAATAATGCAATCGTACATCATATAAGTCACTCCCGCAAGTCCCGCAGTTCTCACAACCCTGGTGTGCGCGAGCTCTCTACATCGGAAGCCTTTCGCGCCGCGCGCAGTCGCGGAGTTTGAATCCCGCCTCGCCGCCCAATAGAATCGTTGATTGGTAGCCGCACTCGCGCCCCTTCCCTCATGACGAAACTCGCTACTAGCACACACCCTACTGACTCCTACTATTACCCAATCCGATTTAAGGTTGAGAAAATGCACGTTCCAGGCTGGCGGCGCAGGAGACACCCCTCTTCCCCCCTCAACCCCCCCACGTAGTACGCGGGCCCGCTATCATGTCCCTGCTGCGCCTCCCCCCGCGCGTCCCACCCAAGGCGTTGCATTATCTGCGAATCCGGCGGCGCTGCGCGAGAGTCAGGTTGATGGATAGGAGAAATAAGAATCAATGTGCGGCGGGGAATGTCCACTCATTTTCAACACATAAATCGACGCCCGCTTCCGACGAAACCGCAATCACATTCTCACACCGCTGCTCGCTAGTCATTGCGTGCCTTCTCTCCTCCTTCAAGGAGGATAGTTTTCCGAGTCGCACTTCCAAGCTCCCAACCGATCTCACGGCACGTCGCACTGCCGCGACTCACACGTCGACTCCCGTCTCCCCGTTTCCCCGTCGCAACTCCTGTCTCCCCGTTTCCCCCGGACCGGGCCGTCTGCTGTGAGGCGACCAGCAAAGCGTTTTGTCATCGCGCCGCCGTGATCGTCGATCCCCGCCGTCTCCCCGTATTCCCCGGCCGTGTCCTCTCCTGTCGTCATGAAGCCATACGGGCGGCGGTCTGGCCTGTGTGGCCTCGCCGCACTCGTCGCGGGTGTCGTTGCCATCAGCTTCCTCGCGACCCACGCCAGTGCTGTTGATGGTGAGTAGTAGACTGACTGCCGGTTGGGCCGGTTGGAGTGTGGGTGAGGGCAACGACATGAGTAGGCTGACTGCCACACATCACTGGCAGTGCCATGGCACCCAACTGCTTCTCCTCACGACCCACGCCAGCGCTGTTGATGGTGAGTAAGCTGACTGCCAGTTGGGTCGGCCGGAGTGTGGGTGAGGGGAACGGATATCAAAAGATTTGAAGGATCTCCGCACTTGTAACGCATTTTCCCTGCTTTACCTCGAAACAACCCTTCACTTCCTGTGCAGACGTGTGCCTCAGCAAGGACTGTGGGACCAATGCTACGTGTGTGCCTGTTAACGGGACTGGTGTGTGCCAGTGCTTGGATGCTTCTAGTACCTTCAAAGATTCTGACAAGACATGCAGTGGTGGTGAGTGCTGGAATGTGGGTGAGTCGCGGAGTGTGACGTCTTCAGCGAGATATTCAAACTTGTGGCCTCTTTTCTCTAATTAACGTTGGGACAACGCATGATTGCCTGTGCAGATGTGTGTAGCGGCAAGGATTGTGGGACCACTGCTAAGTGTGTGCCTGTTAATGGGACTGGTGTGTGCCAGTGCTCGGATGGTTCTACCTTCAACGATTCTGACAAGACATGCGGTGGTGAGTGGTGGAGTGTGGGTGAGTGGTGGAGTGTGGGTGAGTGGTGGAGTGTGGGTGAGTGGTGGAGTGTGGGTGAGTGGTGGAGTGTGGGTGAGTGGTGGAGTGTGGGTGAGTGGTGGAGTGTGGGTGAGTGGTGGAGTGTGGGTGAGTGGTGGAGTGTGGGTGAGTGGTGGAGTGTGGGTGAGTGCTGGAGTGTGGGTGAGTGCTGGAGTGTGGGTGAGTGCTGGAGTGTGGGTGAGTGGTGGAGTGTGGGTGAGTGGTGGAGTGTGGGTGAGTGCTGGAGTGTGGGTGAGTGGTGGAGTGTGGGTGAGTGGTGGAGTGTGGGTGAGTGCTGGAGGGTGAGTGCTGGAGTGTGGGTGATTGCTGGAGTGTGGGTGAGTGACTACACGTCATCGGAAAACAAACCCTTCTTTTACCCTCCTTTCCCTGCGTCTTCTTGCAACTACCCATGATTCCTCCTGCAGGCCCGTGTGCTAGAAAGGACTGCGGCGGTGGTGTCTGCAGTGTGGGGAAAAATGGCACTGCCGCGTGCGGATGCCTCGATGGTGGCTTGATCTTCGATGAAGTTAACAAGAGGTGCTACGGTGAGTGCTGCTACGGTGAGTGCTGCTACGGTGAGTGCTGCTATGGTGAGTGCTGGTGTGGTGAGTGCTGCTACGGTGAGTGCTGCTGCTACAGTGAGTGCTGCTCTGGTGGGTTGGGGACGATACATTTCTCGAAACAGACTCATCTTAGCAGTCAGCGCTTCTGCCTGAGAACTATTCAGCAGACGTGCTATTCCACTAACAAGTTGGGTTACTTATTTCTTCTCCTCACTCCTCCCCGCACCTTCCCCTCTGCCTACTCCCTCCCTCTTCCTTCCTCTCTGCCGCCACCAACAACGCGATGCTTCCAAACCCCCATCATCCTCTCCAAACCCTCACCTCAACGGCCACGGTACGGCATTGTGGGACCAACCAACCATCGGTTGTGGCACGGCACCAACCATTTTGTCAACGATCACGGCAACCAACGCTCAGGCCCGTTCCTCCGGACGGCGGTGCAGCTGCAGGAGACGGTCCTCGGCTATGAGGAGAGCCTAGGCTTCAAGACCTCGGTGCCAGCCGAGCGAGCCAGTGGCACCACCACGTGTAGCGACCTGACCTTCAGCTTCAGCGTTGGCGGCGACACCAAGATCACCATCGTGTGGAACGACTCTGCCGTTGCTGCGGCTGGCATCGGCATGTGCAAGAGCGTGACGTTCCACGACGACCCGGGCTGTGCGGACAAGCCGGGGCTGACGATCGCGCGGCCTGCGAGGGTTGGCCGCTTCTACCCTGTCACGGAAAGGTGTGTGAGCGTGATGCACGCACGATGAAGTGTGGTGTGTGAGCGTGATGCACGCATGATGAAGTGTGGTGTGTGAGCGTGATGCACGCATGATGAAGTGTGGTTGGTGTGTGAGCGTGATGCACGCATGATGAAGTGTGATTGGTGTGTGAGCGTGCTGGCTTTTGAGTGGACTCAAAGGTCATATTTCTACCCCGTCACGGATAGGTGTGTGAGTGTGATGCACGCCACATGAAGTTTGGTGTGTGAGCTTGATGCATGCCACATTAAGTGCGCTTTTTTTTAGTGTGCTTCTACCGCATACGAAAGGATTTGATTTGACTGAAGTCACCAGATTGCTCTTTCCTGCTCTAGCATGAATTTGAGTGACTGTCGTAATTCTTCCTTGCATGTGGTCTTCCTTGTCCTTACCTACTTACCTTCTTCCCTGTCCTTACCTACTTACCTTCTTCCCTGTCCTTACCTACTTACCTTCTTCCCTGTCCTTACCTACTTACCTTCTTCCCTGTCCTTACCTACTTACCTTCTTCCCTGTCCTTACCTACTTACCTTCTTCCCTGTCCTTACCTTCTTTTTTCTCAGAACTGTCAAAGCAACGGATTTGCCGAAATCAGTTGGTTGCGAGATCAGTAAGTGCAAGCACATGCCGTTAAATTCAAAACACTTGTTTAGGACTTGTCCGAGAATCATGTCGTGTCCATCAGTTTTTTTCTTAAGTTTCAAGTGGACACTTAGAAGATCCTAAAGCACGCAATCTGCTGAAGGGACCAGTATGTGAGAGAATGGGTAAGAGAGAGCGAGACACAAGCCAACCCCTCAAGGATTGTTTGTCCCCCCTGTGGTGCCCACAACAGCCACGTGTCACAAGGATTGCGGAACTGCTGAGTGCGTTGTGAAGGAGGGCAAGCCCCAGTGCAAGTGCCCCTGGGGCTTCGCGTTCATTGAGGCTGAGAGAACCTGCAACAACAAGTCTTTCACTCCTGGTACGCCTCTTTGCGTTTTGTTGCAAGTTTGCCAACTAACAACGCGTTGGACCAACCAGCCTTGCGTGAAAAAATGCCAGTCAGAAAGGACAGTGGTTAAAAAGAGAACTGCACTTAGACGTCCTGTCAATCTGATGCTAACTCCTTCCCGCGTCCACCCACGTGTGATAAGTCGAGTTTTGAGTCGACTCAAAATCCGACTTATCACACACAACTGCGCTTAGACGTCCTGTCAATCAAGTCAATCTGATGTTAACTCCTCTCCTTCCCGCGTCCACCCACGGCAGAATCAGACCCGTGCAAGGCAGGAACAGTGAAGTGTGGCAAGAACTCGAAATGCGTTGTGAAGAACGGGCACGGGATGTGCGAGTGTGACGCCGGCTACACCAAGAAGAACGGCCTCTGCACTGGTGAGCTCAACCAGGACTTTGCTTCAAAGGCTGGTCTGGTGATCAAAGAGTTTAGGCTGCTGCTGGTGGTTCTGTGGGATCCTCTTGCCCCTGCTCCCAAGCCACTCCTTTCAGTCTCCCCGCCTGCTGCCCCACTCAGCCTCATGCTCTTTCCCCTCTCCCTGACCTCCCACCTCCCACCTCCCACCTCCCACCCACCCCAGCCATATGCAACCCAGCCTGCCCTGTTAATGCCCAGTGCACGGTGGTGGGAGGGAATCCGGTGTGTCGGTGCAAGCAAGGTTTCAAACTGGAGAAGAGCAAGTGCATACGTAAGAGAGAGGGAGGCATTTCTTTCAGTGCACACAAGTTTGACTTATCCCACCATCTCCACCACCCACATGCACCCAAGTCCGGTGTGTCAGTGCAAGCAAGGATCCAAAATGGAGAAAAACAAATGCACACGTAAGTGAGAGGGAGGGATTTATTTCCGTGCGCACAAGTTTGACTTGTCCCACCATCTCCACCTCCCACTTGCAACCAAGTCCGTTGTGTCAGTGCAAGCAAGGATCCAAAATGGAGAAGAGCAAGTGCACACGTAAGGCAGTGGGATGGATTTATGGAGAAGGCAGCAGCCCAGTTCAACTCATCTCACTATCTCTACCACTCCCATGCACCCAAGAACAACCCAATGCACACATCCGTGCCATCTACTCTCACTGTATGTAAATGCCCTCCTTGTCTTTCCCCACTCATCCTCCAATTTATTCATTCACCTGCACAGTGCAACCCCCCCCCTCCCCCCCGCCCCCTTCCCTCCCCTCCCCGCCGCTCACCACATGTGGCAGCCGTATGCAATCCCGCCTGCCCTGCGAATGCGGAGTGCAAGGTGGTGCAAGGAAAGCCGGCGTGCCAGTGCAAGGCGGGATTCCAAATGGCGAATAACAACAAGTGCACACGTAAGGGACCAAGTGCGAATAAGAAGCCAGCATGCCAGTGCAGCTCGGCTCTCTGTCTCGCACCTATTCATGCTAGTGCAGCCCGGTTACATCTCCATCGCTGCATTTGCACCATCTCCACCCTTCCACCCCCACCACTCACAACCTCAGCTCTCAAGCCATGTACACCCCACATGTCCCATTGAAGCCATCTACTCTCTCTGTATGCTGTCCAGCCTTCTTTTCCCCGCTCATCCTCCATTCCTTCCGTCCCTTACAACCCCCCTTTTTCCATGTGGCAGCCGTATGCCAGGGTGGTTGCCCTGCTAATGCGCAGTGCAGGGTGGTGGGAGGAAGGGCGGAGTGTCAGTGCAACGCAGGGTTCCAAGTGCAGAACAACAAGTGCACACGTAAGGGAGAGAAAAACAAGCACTCTGTCCTGTTTGTTTCACTCTCTTACGGGCTGTTCCCTCCTGGGTGAACCTCATACTCTTCCCCTCTCCCTCCACTCTTCACATTCTTGCTCCCATCCCACAAACGATTGCAGTGTCTAATTCATGCCCTTTACTCTGAATGTATTCTCCCCTTATTTTCCCTGATCATCCTTCATTGCGTCATTCTTGTCTCTCCCATTCCCCCTTTTTCCATGTGGCAGCCGTATGCCAGGGTGGTTGCCCTGCTAATGCGCAGTGCAGGGTGGTGGGAGGAAGGGCGGAGTGTCAGTGCAACGCGGGGTTCCAAGTGCAGAACAACAAGTGCACACGTAAGGGAGAGAAAAACAAGCACTCTGTCCTGTTTGTTTCACTCTCTTAGAGGCTATTCCATTCTGAGTGGACCTATGCTCTCCCCCTCTCCCCTCCAATCCAATCCCCATTCTTGCTCCCATCCCACGAATGATGGCAGTGTCTATCTCATGTCCTCTACTTTGAATGTGTTATCTCCTTATTCTCCCCGCTCATTCTTCAATTCTTCGTTCTTGTCTCTTCCATTCCCACCTTTTTCTATGTGGCAGCCGTATGCCAGGGTGGCTGCCCTGCTAATGCGCAGTGCAAGGTGGTGGGAGGCAAGGCAGCATGTCAGTGCAAGGCAGGGTTCCGAATGGAGAGCAACAAGTGCACACGTAAGAGAAAGAAGGACGCTTTCCTTCTTGTATCACTATCTTAGTAGCCGTTCCAGCCCGACCGACTTTGATATACGTTTTCTCTCTCACTCCCCCACCACCCACTTGCATTTACAAACAATTTCTCTGTCTATAAACCATGCACTCAGTGATGACTGTATCCCCTCTGTCCCATCCCCGGCCATCCATCATTCATTCCTCCCTGCTCTCGCATCTTTCCATGTGGCAGCTACATGCCAGGGTGGCTGCCCTGCTAATGCACAGTGCCAGGTGGTGGGAGGCAAGGCAGCATGTCAGTGCAAGGCGGGTTTTCGAATGGAGAGCAACAAGTGCACACGTAAGGGAGAGAAATGCAAGCATGCTGTCCCGTTTAAATTGCTGTTGTAGAAGCCGTTCAAGCCTGGATGAACCTCATGCACTTCCCCTCTCTCACAGACTCACACCCACCACCACCCACTGGCGCCCATGAACAATTTCCCTGTCCCAATCATGAGGTGACTGTATGCTCTCCTTGTCATCCCCGCTCATCCTTTATCCCGCCCTCTCTCTCCCATCACCCCTTTTCCATGTGGCAGCCGTATGCCAGGGTGGCTGCCCTGCTAATGCGCAGTGCAAGGTGGTGGGAGGCAAGGCGGCATGTCAGTGCAAGGCAGGGTTCCGAATGGAGAGCAACAAGTGCATACGTAAGGGAGAGAAAAAATCGAAAGGTTTCGATTTTTTATCTTATCGCTCCCTTAGTAGCTGTTCCAGCACGAGTGAACCTCATGCACTTCCCCGTTTGCACACCCTCCACCTCCCACTTGGCACTTGCACCAATTGCTCTGCTTGTCTCAATCATGCATTCTACTGTGATTGGATGCCCTCCTTGTCGTCCCCTCTCATCCTTAATTCCTTCCCCCTCTCCCATCTTCCCCTTTTCCATGTGGCAGCCGTATGCCAGCCTAGCTGCCCTGCTAATGCCCAGTGCAAGGCGGTGGGAGGAAAGGCGGCATGTCAGTGCAAGTCAGGATTCCGAATGGAGAACAACAAGTGCACACGTAAGGGAGAGAAAGCCAAGTATCTTCGCTCATTTAGCAGCTGCCTGCCACAGCTCGGCTGAAGATTAGATTTGAGACGTCTCAAAACTAATCTTCATACTCGTAAGGGAGAGGAAGCAAAGTAGCTTCGCTCATTTAGCAACTGCCTGCCACAGCTCGGCGGAATCTCACGCCCTCCCCCCTGTCTACCAACCAACCTCCATCATCCATTGATGCGACTTTTGAGTCGACTCAAAATCACCCAACAGCTCGGCTGAATCTCACGCCCTCCCCCCTGTCTACAAACCAACCTCCATCATCCATTCATGCCATCTGCTCAGTGTGTGCTCTAATCTCTTCGCCTCTGATCTCTCCCTGTTCCCTTCTCTCACTTCCTCCTCCGCTTTTCCATGTGGCAGCTATATGCCAGCCTAGCTGCCCTGCTAATGCGCAGTGCATGGTGGTGGGGGGAAAGGCGGCATGTAAGTGCAAGGCGGGATTTCAAATGGAGAGCAACAAGTGCACATGTAAGGGAGAGGAAGACACATATGCTCTCGCTTCTGTCTTGCTCTTATAACAGCTGGCGCAGCTCGCCTGAACCTCATGCATTTCACGCATTGCCGGCACTCTGCTCCCTCCTTTCTCCTGCTGCTCAACGAAATGCTATGTTTATCAGGCTCCCACCATTATCACCTCACAATCTGATCTAGTATACCTTAATCTCCACCATCCACATATTCTTCACACTTGTCATGTTCAATCGTTGATGATTATTGATCAACCTCCGGCTTAACCTTCTGCCTCTTGTCACCTTGACCTGCCATCTTCCATTCACCTATATTTTGCAACTCAGCGAGCAACTCATTTCTACTTTGAAGGGACTGGTGGACTAGCGAAGAACGGGCGAGTGACCCTGGTTTGATGAGCCAGAGTCCAAGGAGGCGCAAGCTGGCAGCGCCAGAGGGACATGAGAATTGGACAGCAGGGTGGGCAAAGAATGGGCGACTTTAGTTGGATGGGCAGGGGGCGCAAGCAGGCAGTGCCAGGGAGACATCAGATGGGCGGTGGCTGATGGAGCAGCAGAGGTGCGAGGAACTGCATGACTTTTGATGCAAGAAGGCGCAAGCTGGCAGTGCCAGAGGGACATCAGATCAGCCGTGGCTGATGGAGCAGAGGTGCGAGCAACTGCATGTGGTTGCTCGGAGGCCAGGAACCAACTCCGGCTGATGGTTAGCCGAGTCATCTAGTGCTTGCACTAGGAATAAGGTTCCCTGCTTGGTTTGTCATACTGAAGGCCATTGTTAGAGAGTATGTTTTATTATATATATTTTCATATACTGCCTGCTGGTGTAGCTATTGTGTAGTGTTACAACTTCTGTGTGCCTTTGCCTATGCCTAATTGTAATTCCACTTCTCATAGCGAGACACTCTCGACATGCTCCTTCCTAGACTAGGGTTTCTCCTGAGCCTGGGTATCTTTTTACTTGGATAGTTTTTATCGAGAGTATCTTACCATCACGTTGTAAACAGGAGCATGCTCAAGAAGACGTGCTTAGGACCGACCGCTCGAATGGGATGTAGTGAAATTGAGATATTGACGGCCCTTTTTATGCCAAACCAGGTTGATGATCTTGTCCCTTGCTAGGTGGCCCCACAAGGTGGCCCCACACAAAGCCATCTAGCGAGCAGCATATAGAGGTTGTGATTGTCGTGTCATTGAGCACACTTTAGCGGCCTTCATGTTCACTGAAAGGGAACCAGCAACAACAAACCAGCCAAGCATGTACCGTAAGTAAGCTCAGCTCTAGGGTAAATGCACTAAACAACTCAGCCAACCGTCAGTCAAGTTGGTTCCTGGCCTCCGAGCAACCGCATGCAGTTGCTCGCACCTCTGCTCCATCAGCCCCCGCCGATCCTATGTCTGCCATTTTGCGCCTCCTTGCCCCCTGCCCATCCGTTGTCCCTCTGACGCCCGTTCCTTGCTTGTCCACCAAACCTTCCGTATGACCCTCCAGCACTGCCAGCTTGCGCCTCCTTCGCTTGTCCATCATCCCCTCTGTAGAGCACACGTTCAGCTCTTTGAGTGGCAAACAGAGGTGGAATGGGAGGGCAGGGCAGCCCACAAGGAAAGAAGTGACATGAAACAGGAGATGAAACGGAATGACAAGCTATGGGAGCAAAATGTGGATGGTGGATGCGTAATCAGTTTAAGCCAGGGTCTCAAGTAAGCTAAGGAGCCGTCAACTGCAAAGCAGTTGACGCTAGGTTACCTAGTTATTGCCGACGAAGTTCTTTCTGGTTGGGTTGAAAAATCAGCTTGCGACACACCCCAGAAGCGATTGCACAACACTTTTGAGTACTTGAGACTTTCGATGAGTTGGGGGCATTTTAGGTTTGGCTCCGAACCAAGTTTCCAAACCTAGAAGGTTCGGGTACACCCAACGATTTGCGTTCACTTCGCACCCCTCGCTTCTCCCCACTTCAAACCTTTCACCTCGCCAACCAATCGCAGCCCAACTTTCACCAGCAACTGCAAAACACTTGTAGTACTTGAGACCCTGGCTTTAAGAAGAATGTAGGGTGATAGTGGTGCGGAGCTCGTGTTTTTTGAGAATTCTCAAAGAATGTAGGGTGATAGTGGTGCGGAGCTCGTGTTCTTTGAGAATTCTCAAAGAATGTAGGGTGATAGTGGTGCGGAGCTCGTGTTTTTTGAGAATTCTCAGAGAATGTAGGGTGATAGTGGTGCGGAGCTCGTGTTTTTTGAGAATTCTCAGAGAATGTAGGGTGATAGTGGTGCGGAGCTCGTGTTTTTTGAGAATTCTCAAAGAATGTAGGGTGATAGTGGTGCGGAGCTCGTGTTTTTTGAGAATTCTCAAAGAATGTAGGGTGATAGTGGTGCGGAGCTCGTGTTTTTTGAGAATTCTCAAAGAATGTAGGGTGATAGTGGTGCGGAGCTCGTGTTTTTTGAGAATTCTCAAAGAATGTAGGGTGATAGTGGTGCGGAGCTCGTGTTTTTTGAGAATTCTCAAAGAATGTAGGGTGATAGTGGTGCGGAGCTCGTGTTTTTTGAGAATTCTCAAAGAATGTAGGGTGATAGTGGTGCGGAGCTCGTGTTTTTTGAGAATTCTCAAAGAATGTAGGGTGATAGTGGTGCGGAGCTCGTGTTTTTTGAGAATTCTCAAAGAATGTAGGGTGATAGTGGTGCGGAGCTAATGAAAGATACCGCATAGTTCGACCCCTCCCTATTCCTCCCTCTCAACCCTTCCCTTTCTGGCCCTTACAAGTGCACTTGTTGTTATAATCCATTCGGAACCCCGCCTTGCACTGGCATGCCGCCTTTCCTCCCACCACCTTGCACTGCGCATTAGCAGGGCAGCCACCCTTGCATGTGACTGCCACGTGAGAAGTGGGTGGAGGGGAGGAAGTGAAGGAAGAGATTGAAGAATGAGTGGGAGGGAGTTGAGGGGGCAAACAGTGAGAGTAGATGGCACGGATGTGACATGTGGGGAGTTCATGGGTGCATGTGGGAGGGGGGGATGGTGGAATATCCCAAACTGATGTGCACGGAAAGAGATCCCTCCCTCTCGCTTACGTGTGCACTTGTTGTTCTCCATTTTGAAAGCCTGCCTGCACTGGCACACCGGCTATCCTCTCTCCACCGTGCACTGCGCATTCACAGGGCAGGCCCGCTTGCACACGGCTGACACAGGTGGGAGGTGGGGGGTGGGGGAGGGAGGAAAGAGTATGAGCTGAGGGGGGTGAGCAGAGGAGAAAATGAGGAGGAGTGTGCTTAGAAGGAGGAGGGGCACGAGCAGGCCACAGAACCCCCACAGGCACTCAAGCTCGACTCACATGAAAGCACTGTGATCCCATACACTATGAAAGCACTGTGATCCCATACACTATGAAAGCACTGTGATCCCATACACTATGAAAGCACTGTGATCCCATACACTATGAAAGCACTGTGATCCCATACACTATGAAAGCACTGTGATCCCATACACTATGAAAGCACTGTGATCCCATACACTATGAAAGCACTGTGATCCCATACACTATCTCTAAACAATGGAGTCCATTGAATGGACTATCTTTTGACCTCTTCGCCTCTTGGTCACACATTTTTAAAGCAGATCCCTAAGTGAGCTCACCAGTGCAGAGGCCGCTCCTCTTGGTGTAGCCGGCGTCACACTCGCAACTCCCCTGCCCGTACTTCACAACGCACTTGGAATTCTTGCCGCACCTGAGAGTGCCCGTCTTACACGGGTCTGCCGCTGCCATGGGTGGAGGAGGGAAGGAGTCAACATCAGCCTGACTGGATGTCTAGGAGCACTTCCCTCTCGCACTACATTATTCACGGCCACTTGCACAGCGTTTGGCTAATTATTAAAATTGTTGGCAGAACATGCAGCAAGAGACAAAGACACCTACCAGGAGTAGCCATGGTCCATCACCCACCCACCCACCCCCACTGCAGAACCCACCTACCCACAATCCATCAACTATCCACCCACACTCCTACCCACCTACCCACACTCCATCACTCATCCACACTCAAGCACTCACCATTGCATGACTTGTCTTTTTCATCGTAGATAAGACCTTTGACATTGCACGAGCACTTGGGAGCGCCATCGCCTACCACGGAGCAAGACGCAGCTGGTCCGCACTCATATTTGTAACACGCGTCTGCAGGGGAATTTGCCGAGGTTTTGATGCAAAGTGGGGAAAGAGAGCAGTGAAAGTTTAAACGTTGCTTAATCGCGTGCTCTAATCCACGTTCCTTCCAGCGCCCTCTCACCCACACTCCAGCACCCACACCCACCCACACTTCATCACTCACCCACACTCTAGCACTCACCGTTGCATGTCCTCTTTTCGTTGTCGTAGATAAGCCCTTTGACATTGCACGAGCACTTGGGAGTGCCATCGCCTCCCACAGAGCAGGAAGCAGCTGTCCCGCAATCATACTTGTAACACACGTCTGCAGGGAAATTTGTGGTGGTTTCAAGGAAAAAAACGACAAAGGAGTTTGAAAAGTCACAACATTGCTTAGATCTGTGAACTACCCCACACTCCAGCACCCACCCACCCACAATCCAGGAAGCAGTTGCTTCACAATCATAATGAAAACACTTCACCCCCTAGTCCGCACCCACCTTCACTTCAGCACCCACCCACACTCCCGCACCCGCCCACACTCCCGCACCCGCCCACACTCCCGCACCCGCCCCACACTCCCGCACCCGCCCCACACTCCCGCACCCGCCCACACTCCCGCACCCGCCCACACTCCCGCACCCGCCCACACTCCCGCACCCGCCCACACTCCCGCACCCGCCCACACTCCCGCACCCACCCACACTCCCGCACCCACCCACACTCCCGCACCCACCCCACACTCCCGCACCCACCCCACACTCCCGCACCCACCCACACTCCTGCACCCACCCACACTCCCGCACCCGCCCACACTCCCGCACCCGCCCACACTCCCGCACCCGCCCACACTCCCGCACCCACCCACACTCCCACACCCACCCACACTCCCGCACCCGCCCCACACTCCCGCACCCGCCCCACACTCCCGCACCCACCCACACTCCCGCACCCACACACACTCCCGCACCCGCCCCACACTCCCGCACCCACCCACACTCCCGCACCCACCCACACTCCAGCACTCACCAGCAATGCACTTGTAAGTATCTTTTTGTAAGACGAAACCTTCCTTGCATTGGCAACGTGTTGTACCATCCTGCACGACGCACTCTGCTTCCCCGCAAAACAGGTTCTGACTGAGACATGCATCTGCAGGGGAAATGACAAGTTGTTCCGTGTCAAGACAGGGAAAGCGGATCAGTGGAGGGGTGAATGCATTTTAACTCTTGTGCCCCAGTATTTGCCCACAACGCAGCTCTCATCCACCCTCCAGCCCTCATCCACCCTCCAGCTCACTTCCACCCTCCAGCTCTCACCCACACTCCAGCTCTCACCCACCCTCCAGCTCTCACCCACCCTCCAGTCCTTCCAGTGCTCCATATCTCACCTAGTACTACTACTCTCCACCTCTCACCTCCTACTCTCCACCTCTCTCTCCCAGTCTTACCCGGATTTCATTCATCCCCCGAGCCCACGCAGTTAAGTCGATTTTTGAGTCGACTAAAAAGTCGACTCCATCTCTCACCTCCTACTCTCCAGCCCTCCCTCCCAGCCTTACCCGGATTCCATTCTTCCCCCGAGCCAATGCAGACGGGTTGGCCAAAAGTGTTCAAAAGACAGTCCTTGAACCCGCAATCCAAGCCGAAGCACTCGTCTGTCGGGGGCAAAAGAGGTGGTAAAGAAGAGAGGAAAAGAAGCACTCGTCTGCTGGGGGCAAAAGAGGAGGGTGAGCAGCACGAGTGCCTCCAAAACGGTGAGCATGAATGAGGCGGTGAGTGGGAAGCAGCATGATGTCTCCGAGGGTTTGTGAAAGAGGGTGATGAAGAGCACGAGTGCGGAAAGCAAGGAGTGACAACCGGTGGGCAGCCATGGCCTTTCCGTGGTAGTGGTGGGCGGCAGCCGTCCGGTCCGACTCACTCCTCACCAGCGCTAGCTTGGGTCGCGAGGAGGCTGAGTGCAACGAGTCCCGCCACGAGTGCGCCCACGCCCACGCCAACGGCAGACCGCCGCTCGGTGCGCTTCATCAGGTGACGGATGAGAAAGTTAGGGAGATGGGGATCGACGGTCACGGCGCGATGCGAAGCCTTCGGCTTCTTGCAACTCTCTGACTTAGGGATTGACGTTCCAGGCAGGAGTCGAATTGTAGGGATTCACTTTTGTAGTTGCGACGAGGAATGGGTGGGATTAGGTGGGCGCTCGAAGGTGATCGTTGATATGTTGTGAGTTGGAGAGAGAGTGGTCAATCTTACATTGATCCCTTGTAAATATAAGTTCATAGATCTGACTATGTCGCGCCTGTGGACTCGCAGATGATTATGTAACGCGTTTCGTTTCGTTTCGTTGCGAAGAGGTCCGCGAGGAGGCAGAAGGGCGCACAGATTTCCGCGTAGGGAAGGGGTGAGAGAGCGGCGACTTTCGTGATACGGCCTTGGGGAAACGCCATAAGGAGAAACGCGGCGGCGATGACGAGAAACGGGAAGGAAGCCCGGCGTGCGGCTGGACGACGCGGAATTCAGACGCGACGGGGCGCAGGGCGAAAAGAAGTCCGCTTCTAGCAGTACCAGTAGCGCGTTTGCGAACACCAGAGTCGCGAACTGCGGGACTTGCGGGGGAGAATGCATTATTATCACTGATATCGGATAATGCCCAAAGCGAAACGAAAGCTGTGAACGTGTTTGGCAACGCCTAGTTCGATGGGGGTGGGGGGAGGGGGGGGATAGTTAGGGTTGGAAACGAATGTTTCCTTGTAACAATCAATTGAACGTCCTTTGCGGCGTTTGCGATAATTAGTCGCGGGCCCAGCGGAATGATTTTCGACGGAAAGATTCGCCTGGGCCGACGCACCTTGGCGACGGAAATCGGTGGCGCTGGTGAGCTTGGTCACGCAGGGGTCTGGAGGAGGGGGGCTTCGAGCCTGTCGGCCTGTGGAACGACAGATGCGTGACGACGACGGGTGCGAAAGTAACCAGGTGCGACGAAGACGATGATGGTTCGTGTTAGAAAGAACTGTCGCCAGCATTCGGGAGACCCCGCACGCGATCGTTGCCCAGTTTTCCACCACTATTGAAGCGCGTTACAATTTCGTCAAAGCTTGTCCAACCCAACAACTCATCGAGCCTACGCGAAACCTGGCGAAGAATTGCAGCCAAAACCAGATGTGCACAGAACTGATGTTACAAACCCATCTCCTCCTTATTCGCCAAGGGCGTTACCAAACGCGTCCAGAGCCATCGTTTGACTCCCATACTATCTCATCGCAAACCAGTCAGGCTAAATGCATTCGTCCAATAAATCACTCCCGCAAGCCGCGGAAGCACATAAACTCTGCGATCACGAACGCGCGAGGAATTGTTTTCCCGCCTTGCGCCTCGGCGCAGTTTAAATCACCCCCTCGTCCAATAGTATGGCTATCCTAACGCGTTTCCTAGCCTAGCACTGGCTGCCCTCCTCAACAATTTCTCCCGCCATCGCCGCCCCGTCGCCCATTTCTCCTTTTGAGACGTCTCAAAAGCCAAGCACTGGCTACCCTCCCCAACGATAATTCGCCTTCCCCCATCGTCTGTTCCTCCTTCGCGTTCCCCACGTTGTGGCCCTCATGACGAGGAATAGTCCCCAACACGATCATAGACCTAGTAGTAAGGTAGAGCGAATGCACGTTTCCGGAACTTGCTGCGCCTCCCTGCGTACGCACCCTCCTCTCTTCTCCGCGACGAAATGCATTGCATTATCGTCCGGCGCGGGTCCGCGACGCGCACGAGTGCGATTGACCACCCCAAACGAGTCACAGTCCGCACATAAATCGACGACGTTCGATTCCCACTATCCGCACTCGCCCTTCCTCTCATTTTGCTGCTCGCTCATTGTCTCTCCATCTCGTCTCTCCACACCGTCGAGGCCCCTGCCAATCCCTCTCACCTGCCAGCGCTGCTAGCAGCAAGCCGCAGCACTGCAATCTCGTACCGCCGCTCGCTCATTGCGTGCCTCTCCATCTCGTCTATTTCGCACCGACGCCGATACCCCACCCAATAATCTCTCCCGCCGGCGCTGCTACTACTTGTAGCAAGCCTCTGCACTGGTGCCTCGTCGCGACTACAAGTGACGTGAGTCCCGACGTTTCGACTTCTGACGCGAAAGAATCTCAAGTTTTCCTCCGGCCATCTCCCGTCTCGCCGTGTTCTTTGGCTGTCTCCTCGGCCTCTCCTGGCGTCATGAAGCGCTACGGGCGGCTGTCTGGCCTCCGGCTAGGCCTTGCAGCACTCGTCGCGGGTCTCGTTGCCATCAGCTTCCTCGCGACCCACGCCAGCGCCGCTGATGGTGAGTAGGATGACACTGCCAGCGCCGCACCTCCTGCTGGTGAGTACTACTGACTGGCTGCCACGTTCCATGGCACCCAACCAACCCAAGCGGTGCTCGCGAATGCTTCTCAGTAAAAGCATGAGCTTCTCACACTCGTTGCCGTTCGCTTCCTCGTGACCCAAGCCAGCGCCGCACCTCCTGCTGGTGAGTACTAGTACTGACCATGCTGTCCACTCTTGCTTCCGCACTCTTGAGTGCTTTAAAGGGCCATTTAGGTGCAAAAACGTGTTGGCGCTGATCATGTTGCTCCAACTCTCTCTTTCTCACTTACTCCTCCTCCTCTCCCCTCCCACCCCACCAAGATAGACCGTTGAGTGCTGTGTTTTGTGTTGAATGCTGTGGCGTGGGTGGCTGCTGTGCTGGAGCGTGTGGGTGAGTGGTGGAGTGTGGGTGAATGGTGGAGTGTGGGTGAGTGGTGGAGTGTGGGTGAGTGGTGGAGTGTGGGTGAGTGGTGGAGTGTGGGTGAGTGGTGGAGTGTGGGTGAGTGGTGGAGTGTGGGTGAGTGGTGGAGTGTGGGTGAGTGGTGGAGTGTGGGTGAGTGGTGGAGTGTGGTGAGTGGTGGAGTGTGGTGAGTGCTGGAGTGTGGGTGAGCGCTGGAGTGTGGATAAATGCTACGGCCCAGTGGTTAAATGATTTCTCATAAGCCGCTGGTTAAATGCCGCTTGCCCTATTTTCTCTCAAACAACCCATGATCCCCCCCCACAGACCCGTGTGCCGACTCTCCTTGCGGGTCAACTGCACTGTGCATCAGGAACAGCAACGGCACTCGCACATGCGAGTGCTGGTATGGCTATCGCTTCGTAGAAGCTTCCAGGACGTGCGTCCCTGGTGAGTGTTGGAGTGTGGGTGAACGCTGGAGTGTGGGTGAACGCTGGAGTGTGGGTGAACGCTGGAGTGTGGGTGAACGCTGGAGTGTGGGTGAACGCTGGAGTGTGGGTGAACGCTGGAGTGTGGGTGAACGCTGGAGTGTGGGTGAACGCTGGAGTGTGGGTGAACGCTGGAGTGTGGGTGAACGCTGGAGTGTGGGTGAACGCTGGAGTGTGGGTGAACGCTGGAGTGTGGGTGAACGCTGGAGTGTGGGTGAACGCTGTGGCGCAGAGTTAAATGCATGCTCATACGCAGTTCTTCCTCTCTACTAACCTGCTTTCCCTACTTTTCCTCGGAACGACCCATGACCCCCCCTGCAGACTCATGTGCCAACTCACCCTGCGGGTCAACTGCAAAGTGCATCAGGGTCACCGACTACTCTTACACATGCCAGTGCCGGGGTGACCTCATCTTCATAGAAGATTCCAGGACGTGCATTCCTGGTGAGTGCTGGAGTGTGGGTGAGCGCTGGAGTGTGGGTGAGTGCTGGAGTGTGGGTGAGCGCTGGAGTGTGGGTGAGTGCTGGAGTGTGGGTGAGCGCTGGAGTGTGGGTGAGTGCTGGAGTGTGGGTGAGTGCTGGAGTGTGGGTGAGCGCTGGAGTGTGGGTGAGTGCTGGAGTGTGGGTGAGTGCTGGAGTGTGGGTGAGTGCTGGAGTGTGGGTGAGTGCTGGAGTGTGGGTGAGCGCTGTGGCGCAGAGGCTAGATGCATGATCGTAAGCAGTTCTTCCTCTCTACTAGTTAAATGCCGCTTGCCCTAATAATTCTCAAACAAACCCATTATCCCCCCTGGCAGACCCATGTGCCAACTCGCCCTGCGGGTCAACTGCACTGTGCATCAGGAACAGCAACGGCACTCGCACGTGCCAGTGTCAGGACGGCTTTTTCTTCAAAGAATCGGACAAGACGTGCATTCCTGGTGGGTGTTGGAGCGTGGTGAGTGTTGGAGCGTGGTGAGTGTTGGAGTGTGGTGAGTGTTGGAGTGTGGTGAGAGTTGGAGCGTGAGTGAGTGCTGTGGCTCAGAGGTTAAATGCATACTCATAAGCAGTTGCAGTTCTTCCTTTCTACTAACCCACTTGTTCTACTTTTCCTCGGAACAACCCATGATCCCCCCCACCCCACAGACCCGTGTGCCAGCTCGCCTTGCGGGCCCTTTGCACAGTGCATTGGGAACAGCAACGGCACTCACACATGCCATGGGTCGACTCAAATATCAACCCATGCTTTTCCCCACCGCCACAGACCCATGTGCCAACTCGCCTTGCGGGCCCTTTGGAGAGTGCATCAGGATCTACGACAGCACTCACACATGCCACTGCCGGAACGGCTTTTTCTTCATAGAATCTGACAGGATGTGCGTTCCTGGTGCGTGTTGGAGTGTGGTGATTGTTGGAGTGTGGGTGAGTGTTGGAGTGTGGGTGAGTGTTGGAGTGTGGGTGAGTGTTGGAGTGTGGGTAAGTGCTGGAGTGAGGGTGAGTGCTGGAGTGAGGGTGAGTGCTGGAGTGAGTGAGGGTGAGTGCTGGAGTGAGGGTGAGTGCTGGAGTGAGGGTGAGTGCTGGAGTGAGGATGAGTGCTGGAGTGAGGGTGAGTTCTGGAGTGAGGGTGAACGCTGTGGCACAGAGGTTAAATGCATGCTCATAAGCAGTCCTTCCTCTCTACTAATCCTCTTTCCCTACTTTTCCTCGGAACAACCTGTGATCCCCCCTGCAGACGTGTGAACCAATTCGCAGTGCGGGTCAACTTTTGAGGCGCCTCAAAAGTCATTCGCAGTGCGGGTCAACTTTTGAGGCGCCTCAAAAGTCATTCGCAGTGCGGGTCAACTTTTGAGGCGCCTCAAAAGTCATTCGCAGTGCGGGTCAACTTTTGAGGCGCCTCAAAAGTCATTCGCAGTGCGGGTCAACTTTTGAGGCGCCTCAAAAGTCATTCGCAGTGCGGGTCAACTTTTGAGGCGCCTCAAAAGTCATTCGCAGTGCGGGTCAACTTTTGAGGCGCCTCAAAAGTCATTCGCAGTGCGGGTCAACTTTTGAGGCGCCTCAAAAGTCATTCGCAGTGCGGGTCAACTTTTGAGGCGCCTCAAAAGTCATTCGCAGTGCGGGTCAACTTTTGAGGCGCCTCAAAAGTCATTCGCAGTGCGGGTCAACTTTTGAGGCGCCTCAAAAGTCATTCGCAGTGCGGGTCAACTTTTGAGGCGCCTCAAAAGTCATTCGCAGTGCGGGTCAACTTTTGAGGCGCCTCAAAAGTCATTCGCAGTGCGGGTCAACTTTTGAGGCGCCTCAAAAGTCATTCGCAGTGCGGGTCAACTTTTGAGGCGCCTCAAAAGTCATTCGCAGTGCGGGTCAACTTTTGAGGCGCCTCAAAAGTCATTCGCAGTGCGGGTCAACTTTTGAGGCGCCTCAAAAGTCATTCGCAGTGCGGGTCAACTTTTGAGGCGCCTCAAAAGTCATTCGCAGTGCGGGTCAACTTTTGAGGCGCCTCAAAAGTCATTCGCAGTGCGGGTCAACTTTTGAGGCGCCTCAAAAGTCATTCGCAGTGCGGGTCAACTTTTGAGGCGCCTCAAAAGTCATTCGCAGTGCGGGTCAACTTTTGAGGCGCCTCAAAAGTCATTCGCAGTGCGGGTCAACTTTTGAGGCGCCTCAAAAGTCATTCGCAGTGCGGGTCAACTTTTGAGGCGCCTCAAAAGTCATTCGCAGTGCGGGTCAACTTTTGAGGCGCCTCAAAAGTCATTCGCAGTGCGGGTCAACTTTTGAGGCGCCTCAAAAGTCATTCGCAGTGCGGGTCAACTTTTGAGGCGCCTCAAAAGTCATTCGCAGTGCGGGTCAACTTTTGAGGCGCCTCAAAAGTCATTCGCAGTGCGGGTCAACTTTTGAGGCGCCTCAAAAGTCATTCGCAGTGCGGGTCAACTTTTGAGGCGCCTCAAAAGTCATTCGCAGTGCGGGTCAACTTTTGAGGCGCCTCAAAAGTCATTCGCAGTGCGGGTCAACTTTTGAGGCGCCTCAAAAGTCATTCGCAGTGCGGGTCAACTTTTGAGGCGCCTCAAAAGTCATTCGCAGTGCGGGTCAACTTTTGAGGCGCCTCAAAAGTCATTCGCAGTGCGGGTCAACTTTTGAGGCGCCTCAAAAGTCATTCGCAGTGCGGGTCAACTTTTGAGGCGCCTCAAAAGTCATTCGCAGTGCGGGTCAACTTTTGAGGCGCCTCAAAAGTCATTCGCAGTGCGGGTCAACTTTTGAGGCGCCTCAAAAGTCATTCGCAGTGCGGGTCAACTTTTGAGGCGCCTCAAAAGTCATTCGCAGTGCGGGTCAACTTTTGAGGCGCCTCAAAAGTCATTCGCAGAGCGGGTCAACTTTTGAGGCGCCTCAAAAGTCATTCGCAGTGCGGGTCAACTTTTGAGGCGCCTCAAAAGTCATTCGCAGAGCGGGTCAACTTTTGAGGCGCCTCAAAAGTCATTCGCAGTGCGGGTCAACTTTTGAGGCGCCTCAAAAGTCATTCGCAGTGCGGGTCAACTTTTGAGGCGCCTCAAAAGTCATTCGCAGTGCGGGTCAACTTTTGAGGCGCCTCAAAAGTCATTCGCAGTGCGGGTCAACTTTTGAGGCGCCTCAAAAGTCATTCGCAGAGCGGGTCAACTTTTGAGGCGCCTCAAAAGTCATTCGCAGTGCGGGTCAACTTTTGAGGCGCCTCAAAAGTCATTCGCAGTGCGGGTCAACTTTTGAGGCGCCTCAAAAGTCATTCGCAGTGCGGGTCAACTTTTGAGGCGCCTCAAAAGTCATTCGCAGTGCGGGTCAACTTTTGAGGCGCCTCAAAAGTCATTCGCAGTGCGGGTCAACTGCACAGTGCATTGGGAATAACGAGTACACTCACACATGCCATGGGTCGACTCAAATATCAACCCATGCTTCCCCCCACCCACCCCCACAGATCCATGTAAGAACCAGCATTGCGGCCTTGCAGAGTGCATCAGGAACAGCGACGGCACTCGCACGTGCCAGTGCCAGGACGGCTTTTTCTTCAATGAAGATGACAGGACGTGCCTTCCTGGTGGGTGTTGGATTCCGGGTGAGTGCTGGAGGGTGGTGCGGGTGTGGGTTAGTGCTAGAGCAAGGGTGAACGTGGTGACTTTTTGATTGTGAAAACGTCTTGTGTGTGAGTGAGTGCTCTAGTGTGTGTGAATACTGTAGGCTGGAGCTCAGCTATGGAATGGAATGCCGCTCGCTCATGATCAGATGTTCTCCTCTACCAACCCGATCTCCCTACTTACTTTGCCTCGAAAAAACAACCCATACTTATGACTGACTTGCCCTGCAGAAATTTGTGCCAGGCTTGATTGCGGGCAAAGCGCAACGTGTAGCTTGATGAGTGATGGGACTGCCCAGTGCAAGTGCAAGGAGGGTTATCTCTTCGAGGAGATTGGCAAGACGTGCTACCCTGGTGGGTGGGCGTTGTGTTGTGTTGGTTGGTGTGCGGGTAATTTTTGCGTCGACTCAAAAAGGCCGTGTGCCATTGTAACGAGGTGGCTTGTGAGTTGGCTCAAAAGTGCGAGGAAGGTTTTATCTTAAAGGAGATTGGCAAGACGTGTAACCCTGGTGGGTGTTGGTGTGTGGGTGTGGCTGAGGGCTTAAAGTTTAGGGTAAGGGCTCGAGTTGAGGAGAGGGCTTGAGCATGTGCGGGTGAGGGTTGGAGTGTGGTTGTGTTGAAATCACATTTGAGAATTCTCAAAAGTGATTTCAATTGAGCATGTGCGGGAGTGTAGTTGTGCTTGAGTGTGGGAGAGGGCTGAACTGTGGGTGAGTGCTAGAGCGGCGGTTAGTGTGTGGTCATAAGAAAAAAATCCCTTTCTCTTACCCCCTTTTTCTAGCTTTACCTCGCATTGGAACAACCAACTCTGATCCCCGTGCCATTCTTTTAAACCCCTGCCTTTCTTCTAACCCCCTGCAGACCCGTGTGCCGTCGTTTACTGTGGGCCGAGTGCTGAGTGCGTTGTGAAGGATGACGGCTCTGCCAAGTGCCAGTGCTACGATGACTCGCGCTTCCACGATGCTACCAAGACGTGCATTCACGGTGCGTGAGTGAGTGTTGCCGTGCGGTGTGGTGTGGATGAGTGAGTGTGCTTCATGCGTCGTGAGGAAAGACAGCGCTACCGACTGCTTCTGTTTGGATGATTCGCGCTTCGACAATGCTACCAAGACTTGCATTCACGGTGAGTGGTGTTGCCGTGCGGTGTGGATGTTTTGAGTCGACTCGAAACAAGTGGTGTGGATGAGTGCAATGCACTTCATGCATTGCGTTTTGAGGAATGATGGCACTACTAACCGTTTGCCTTTGCCAAGTCGTGCATTCATTCACGGTGAGGGTTGTTGCATGATGTGCCTGACTGGCATGGTGTGTCTGATTGTGCGAGTGTGATTCATGTTCAAGCATTGATGTGATCAGTGCACGGTCATACAAATTATATGCTATATCATTCCGCCTAGTGACGGTATTCACTCTTGCTTTTCACCCTCTTACTTCTCAACCCGCTTGCTACTCGCCTTTCTTCCTCACCCTCTTGCTTCTCACGCTCTTGCTTCTCACCCTCCTGCTTTTCACGCTCTTGCTTCGCACCCGGTTGCTTCGCACCCGGTTGCTTCGCACCCGGTTGCTTCGCACCCGGTTGCTTCTCGCCTGCATGGGGTTTCATTCTCGCCTGCATGGGGTTTCATTCTCGCCTGCATGGGGTTTCATTCTCTTGCTTTCCATGCTCTTCCCTCCTGCTTCTCGCCTGCATACTTCTCACCATCCTCCTCGGAACAACCATGATTCCCCCCACCCACAGATGTGTGTGCCAGCCAGCTCGCGTTGCGGGCTAGATGTACTGTGTGTTTTATAAATCAACCCATGATGATTTGTAAAACATCTGTGGGACCAACCCGCTTTCTCTACTTTTCCTCCACCTCAACACTCACCCACACCCCTTCCCCACAGACCCATGTGTGTGTGCCAGCTCACTTTGCGGCCCGAGTGCAAAGTGCGCTTTGGGGTCAACTCAAAAATCAATCCATGATCTCCCCCACCCCCGCAGACCTGTGTGACAAATCGTTTTGCGGGTTTGGTGTAACGTGTGTTGGGAATGGGAACGGCACTCGCACATGTCTGTGTTTTGAGTTGACTCAAAAGGCACAAATCAACGCATGATGATCCCCCCCATCCCCGCAGACCCGTGTGGAAAATCGCCGTGTGGGTTTGGTGTAACGTGTGTGGGGAACGTGGACAACACTCGCACATGCCTGTGTGAGGATGGCTTCATTTACTACGAACCTGGCTTGACGTGCATTCCTGGTGAGCAATGGAGTATGGGTGAGTGGTGGGATATGCGTGAGTGTTGGAGGTGGGATATGCGTGAGTGTTGGAGTATGGATAAGTGGTGGGATATGCGTGAGTGTTGGAGTATGGGTGAGTGGTGGGATATGCGTAAGTGTTGGAGTTTGGGGGAGTGGTGGGATATGCGTGAGTGTTGGAGTTTGGGTGAGTGGTGGGATATGCGTGAGTGTTGGAGTTTGGGGGAGTGGTGGGATATGCGTGAGTGTTGGAGTTTGGGTGAGTGGTGGGATATGCATGAGTGTTGGAGTTTGGGGGAGTGGTGGGATATGCGTGAGTGTTGGAGTTTGGGGGAGTGGTGGGATATGCGTGAGTGTTGGAGTTTGGGTGAGTGGTGGGATATGCGTGAGTGTTGGAGTTTGGGTGAGTGGTGGGATATGCGTGAGTGTTGGAGTTTGGGTGAGTGGTGAAGCAGGGGTGGAGATGTTGAGTGTGGTGATTTCCTGTTTGTGGGAACTTCTTGTGTGGGAGTGAGTGCTTGAGTGTGGGTGGCAGGTGGAGAGAGTAGGGATGAGCAAAAAAACGAACACCTGTTCAGTTCGCCTCGAACACGTTCGAGGCGAACCGAACAGGTTCTCTTTTTTGGCTTAAAGTGTTCGCCGAACAGTGTTCGATGTTCGCCCGAACACATTCGTGTTCGGGCCGCTGCTGCAATTTGCCCCTAGACGAACACGAACGTGTTCGAGGTTCGCCCGAACAAGCCTTCATAGGCGAACGGCGAACACCTGTTTTTGCTTAAGGTGTTCGCCGAACCGAACAGTGTTCGCCGAACCGAACAGTGTTCGCCGAACCGAACAGTGTTCGGTTCGCCGAACAGGGGTGTTCGTGCATGGGCGAACGTGAACACGTTCGTGTTCGCCCCTTGCTCATCCCTAGGAGAGAGCTAGGGTGTGAGTGAATGCAAGAGTGCGAGTGCGATAGTGCGAGTGCGAGAGTGCGAGTGCAAGAGTGGGAGTGCAAGAGTGGGAGTGCAAGGGTGCGAGTGAGTGCAAGGGTGCGAGTGAGTGCAAGGGTGCGAGTGAGTGCAAGGGTGCGAGTGAGTGCAAGGGTGCGAGTGAGTGCAAGGGTGCGAGTGAGTGCAAGGGTGCGAGTGAGTGCAAGGGTGCGAGTGAGTGCAAGGGTGCGAGTGAGTGCAAGGGTGCGAGTGAGTGCAAGGGTGCGAGTGAGTGCAAGGGTGCGAGTGAGTGCAAGGGTGCGAGTGAGTGCAAGGGTGCGAGTGAGTGCAAGGGTGCGAGTGAGTGCAAGGGTGCGAGTGAGTGCAAGGGTGCGAGTGAGTGCAAGGGTGCGAGTGAGTGCAAGGGTGCGAGTGAGTGCAAGGGTGCGAGTGAGTGCAAGGGTGCGAGTGAGTGCAAGGGTGCGAGTGAGTGCAAGGGTGCGAGTGAGTGCAAGAGTGGGTGAGTGCAAGAGTGTGAGTGAGTTCAAGAGTGTGGGTGAGCAAAAATCTCCCATCTTTTTCTAACCCTCTTTCTCTCTCTTTCTTGGAACAACAACTCTTACTGATCCCCCCTGCAGCCGCGTGTGCCGACGTTGACTGTGGGAGGAGTGCTTATTGCTCTTTGATGGATGATGGTTCCAAAAAGTGCCTTTGCTTCGATGATACTCGCTTCGACGATGCGACCAAGACGTGCATTCACGGTGAGGGTTTGAGGTTTCGGGTTTAGAGTGTTACCATTTGGTGTGGTGCGAATGAGTGTGTGCTTCATGCGTTGTGTTGCGAGGAGAGACGGTGCTACCAGCTGCCATTGTGTCGATGATTCTCGCTTCGACGATGCAACCAAGACGTGCATTCACGGTGAGTGAGTGTTGCCATGTGGTGGTGTGGACGAGCGTGTGCTTCATGCATTTGAGGACAAATGGCGCTACCAACCGACTGCCTTTGTCAATACGTGCACTCGCGGTGAGGGTTGCCGCGTGGCATGGCTGAGTGCACACGGCCATACAAATAATCTGCCGAATTATTTCCCCCTTTCGCACCTTTGTATCCGAATAATAAAGCTTTCCCCCTCCAGGCACGGGAAAAGGGACGCAAAGAAACTCATTCCAAGTTCCCTTGCAACGCCCCCTATCGAACCTGCAGACGCGTGCACGACAGTGGTCTGTGCTCCGAATGCAACCTGCGTCGTGCTCAGCAATGGCAAGCCCAACTGTCGGTGCGGTGATGGGTTCATCCAAGACCCAGTTCAGAAGACGTGCAGTCCTGGTGAGTGCAGTCCTGGTGAGTGCAGTCCTGGTGAGTGCAGTCCTGGTGAGTGCAGTCCTGGTGAGTGCAGTCCTGGTGAGTGCAGTCCTGGTGAGTGCAGTCCTGGTGAGTGCAGTCCTGGTGAGTGCAGTCCTGGTGAGTGCAGTCCTGGTGAGTGCAGTCCTGGTGAGTGCAGTCCCGGTGAGTGCAGTCCTGGTGAGTGCAGTCCTGGTGAGTGCAGTCCTGGTGAGGTGGTGAGTGCAGGATTCGGGGGTGTGCTGTCTGAAGTGTTGAGATGGGGTTGCGGTAAAGTTTTGAGTGTTTAGAAGACGCGAAGTCCCGGTGATGAGTGCTGGATTCAGGGAGCCGCTATGAGGGTGGTGTGGGTGGGTGATAGAGTGTGCGTGAGTGATGGAGTGTGTGTGAGTGATGGAGTGTGTGTGAGTGATGGAGTGTGTGTGAGTGATAGAGTGTGCGTGAGTGATAGAGTGTGCGTGAGTGATCGAGTGTGCGTGAGTGATAGAATGTGCATGAGTGTTAGAGTGTGCGTGAAAACTGGAGCACAGACGTTAAATGCACGCTCGTACGCAGTTCTTCCTCTCTACCGAGGGGGTCTGTAGGTCATACATTTGCAGTTCATCTTGCGGCTCAGGGTGGTTCCACACGGTGAGAAGTGGTTCTTTTTACCTTTACCGTTTTGCACCCAGATGCAACGAATTCCTTAATCCGCAAAGAAACCGTGTGGAAAGTACAAGTGACGTACGTCCGACGAACACCCTAATCCGTTTTCCCTACATTTCCTCGGAACATCATCCCATGATTTCTCTTGCAATCAAGTGAGACCTTTGAGGCGCCTCAAAGTAGTAACCCCCTATTTCGCTTTCCCTACTTCTCCTTGGAACAACCCGTGATTCCCCTCGCAGTCAAGTGTGTCGACTATTTCTGCGGGCAGACATCAAAGTGCGCCCTGGACAGGAAATGGAGATCCTTATTGCGTGTGTGCAGGGGGGCTTTGCCTAGCCCATGACGTTTGAGTCGACTCAAAACTCACCTGGATATAATGTCATGCGACATTGCATGTGCGAGAAGGGCTTTGCCTAGCCCATGACGTCCCTCACAGTCAAGTGAGCCGCTTTCTCTACTTTACCTTTGAACAACCCATGCTTTCCCTTGCAGCCAAGTGTGTCAACTATGATTGCGGGCACACTGCAAAGTGCGCCCTGGACCGGGATGGCGACCCCCACTGCGTGTGCGAGAGGGGCTTTGTTTACGACGTATACGAGAAGACATGCATTGTTGGTGAGTGTGGTTGTTAGTGGGTGGTGGAGTGTGAGTGACTCTGATTGCGAGCAAACTGCCACTATGTGTGCCCTGGGCTGAAATAGGTACCCCCACTGCGTGTGCGAGAGGGGCTTTGTTTATGACGTATACAAGAAGACATGCATTGTTGGTGAGTGGTGGAGTGTGGGTGAGTGGTTGAGAGTGTGTGTGAGTGGTGGAGGGTGGGTGAGTGGTTGAGAGTGTGTGTGAGTGGTGGAGGGTGGGTGAGTGGTTGAGAGTGTGTGTGAGTGATGGAGGGTGGGTGAGTGGTTGAGAGTGTGTGTGAGTGATGTAGGGTGGGTGAGTGGTTGAGAGTGTGTGTGAGTGATAGAGGGTGGGTGAGTGGTTGAGAGTGTGTGTGAGTGATGGAGGGTGGGTGAGTGGTTGAGAGTGTGTGTGAGTGGTGGAGGGCTAAGTTGGTCATTTACGCCATTTCAGCCCGTGTACACGTAACGTACGCGTACATGTACGTTTACGTGTACGTACGCGTACGTACGTGTACGTACGCCGGGCAGGTCAGAAAAATAATATGCGTTGAAATTTCTTTGAAAACGGTTTCCGAAAAAACTAAATAAAAAAATAAAAAATATTTCGACGACCTGTGCTCTGTTAGCGTGTTAGCAAAACGGTGCGACGTTTGTCAAAGTAGTAATGTAAGAAACAGGAAGGTTGCTAGCTAGGGTCGCTATGGTATGGCGACTACCCTACGTACTATGTCGACTAAGGCGGCAGAACTACGATAGCTAAGTCTGTCGAGAGAGGGAGGGAGGAAATTGTGGTGGGAGTAGATTTGAATGTGTGCAAACTGTTCGCGATAGAACATTGTGAACAGTTTGACTCAGATTGCGATTGCTTCGTTTGCAAGGTAAGCGAATGTCACCCGCTCGGTAGTTTCGTCACCGCCGAGCTTCACTGGTTTCGGCGAATCCCAACTTCGAGTCAAACCAATTCGCCGAGTCAAATCTAAATCTACACTACATGATGGAATTTTTACACTGTATGATGGAAATTATGATTACGAGGGAAAAACATAGAGAAAATATACATATCCGGGCAGCCCAGAATTTTTTCACCTGCCCGTAAATTAGGCCTCCAACCCAACAGCCGCGTAAACGTAGGTACCCGTACACGTACGTACGTAAACGTAAACGTAAATGACCAACTAAGGTGGAGGGTGGGTGAGTGGTTGAGAGTGTGTGTGAGTGGTGGAGGGTGGGTGAGTGGTTGAGAGTGTGTGTGAGTGGTGGAGGGTGGGTGAGTGGTTGAGAGTGTGTGTGAGTGGTGGAGGGTGGGTGAGTGGTTGAGAGTGTGTGTGAGTGATGGAGGGTGGGTGAGTGGTTGAGAGTGTGTGTGAGTGATGGAGGGTGGGTGAGTGGTTGAGAGTGTGTGTGAGTGAAAGAGGGTGGGTGAGTGGTTGAGAGTGTGTGTGAGTGGTGGAGGGTGGGTGAGTGGTTGAGAGTGTGTGTGAGTGATGGAGGGTGGGTGAGTGGTTGAGAGTGTGTGTGAGTGGTGGAGGGTGGGTGAGTGGTTGAGAGTGTGTGTGAGTGATGGAGGGTGGGTGAGTGGTTGAGAGTGTGTGTGAGTGATGGAGGGTGGGTGAGTGGTTGAGAGTGTGTGTGAGTGATGGAGGGTGGGTGAGTGGTTGAGAGTGTGTGTGAGTGGTGGAGGGTGGGTGAGTGGTTGAGAGTGTGTGTGAGTGATGGAGGGTGGGTGAGTGGTTGAGAGTGTGTGTGAGTGGTGGAGGGTGGGTGAGTGGTTGAGAGTGTGTGTGAGTGATGGAGGGTGGGTGAGTGGTTGAGAGTGTGTGTGAGTGATAGAGGGTGGGTGAATGGTTGAGAGTGTGTGTGAGTGGTGGAGTGTGGGCGAATGGTGGAGTGTGGGCGAATGGTGGAGTGTAAAATGAGTTGAGTCGACCCTAAAGTCAACTCCCACTGCGTGTGCGAGAAGAGCATTGCTTTCGACGAATACGAGAAGACATGCATTGTTGGTGGGTTTTTCGAATGTGGGTGAGTGGTAGTGGAGTGTGGTTAAATGCTTGAGCAGAGTGTTTGAGCGCATGCTCACAGACAAATCCTTTCTTCCGATCAACCCATACATACATCACTTCCCCTGCAGACTTGTGTGCCAATGTGGATTGCGGCAAGATTGCAAGGTGCTCTGCAAACCCTGATGGGAAAACTACCCAGTGCATGTGTGACGATGGCTATCTCTTTAGAGACTCCGACAAGACGTGCATTGTTGGTGAGTGTGGGTGTGGGTGGGTGCTGGACTGTGTGTGTGGGTGTGGGTGGCTGCTGGACTGTGAGTGTTGGTGTGGGTGGATGCTCTGCAAACCCTGATGGGAAAACCACCCAATGCATGTGTGACGATGGCTATCTCTTTAGGGACTCCGACAAGACGTGCACTGTTGGTGAGTGTGGGTGTGAGTGAGCGAGTGTGGGCGTGTGTGAGTGCTGGAGTTCAGGTGAGAGCTGGAGCAAGCCAGTTAAATTGACGCTCATAAGCATATCCACTGTGCTCATAAGCCAGTTAACTGGATTTATCTCGCACTCATAAGCAAATCCTTCCCTCTGCTAACCTGCTTTCCCTACTTCACCTCTAAACAACTCATCATGTCTAAACAACCCATCATGCCATGCCATGTCCCCTGCAAACGTGTGTGTTTTATTAGTTGACTCAAAACCACCTCTAGAAACCGGCTTTCCCTACTTTGCCTCGGAACAAACCATCATGCCATGGCACAGACGTATGTGGCAACAAGGATTGCGGGATTACTGCCAAGTGCAACGTGAGGAGTGATGGCTCTGCGGAATGCCAGTGCGGGCCCGGGGGAATCTTCCGCGAACGTGACACAGCGTGCATTGCTGGTGGGTGCTGAAATCTGGCTTTTGAGTAGTCTCAATATCTGGGAGTAATGGCTCTGCCGAATGCCAGGGGTCTTCTTCGCTCATAGTGGAAGAGCAGCATTTCTAAAGAGTGACGCTTTTTGCAACAGAAGGAACGAAACAGTAATTCTTTCTGGAAAACGATTAGTAGAAACCGTAAAACCCTTTACTATTCGGGAGTAATGGCTCTGCCGAATGCCAGTGCGGGGTTGGGAGTATCTTCTGCGAATCTGACAGGGAGTGCATTGCTGGTGGGAGCTGAAATGTGGGTGCAAGTCCAACATTTCTCTATCAATATAAAATTATGGTTTGAGTTGAATCATAACTCAGCCCATGATCCCCCTCTCCCCCACCTTCGCAGACGTGTGTTATAACTCGGCGTGCGGGCTAGCGCCAAGTGCATCAGGACGGGTGATCTCACGCGCCAGTGCCAAGCAAAGACGGCTTGAGTCGATTCAGAAATCAACCCATACAACTGATCCCCTTCCCCCCACCCCCTCCCACAGACGTGTGTTATAACTCGCCGTGCGGGGCTAGCGCCAAGTGCGTCAGGACGGGTGATCTCACGCGCCAGTGCCAGTGCAACAACGGTTTGGTCTTCCAAGAGGCTGACAAGACGTGCATTCCTGGTGGGTGCTGGAACAGGTTTGAGCTGTTCAGTGTAATGACTACTTGATTGTGGTGAATTGTGAGTGTGGTCTAGTTGTTGAGTGTGGGTTGAGTTGTTGAGTGTGGGTTGAGTTGTTGAGTGTGGGTTGAGTTGTGAGTGTCGAAGAGTGGGTGAGTGCTGGAGTGAGGGTGACCGCTAGACTGTGGGTCATTGTTGGTGCAAAACGGGTATTTCAACACTCATAAGTGATTGTTTCCCTCTACCAACCCACTCTTTCTCTACTTTACCTCGCACCAACCCACCTTTTTCCAACTATTCCTCGCCCAACCCATGATTACCCCCGCAGCCGAGTGAGTGTGTCAACAAGGAGTGAGGGAGAAGTGCCAAGTGCCACGTGACGGCTCCTGGCTCTACCCAGTGCAAGTGCCTCTTGAGTCGACTCAAAAGGTGGCTTTTGACTTGTCTCGACTCAGAATTCAACCCAACCTCTCCACCCCCCTTCCCCTTCCCAACTACCCCCCTTCTCCTCCCACCTGCAGCCGAGTGTGTCAACAAGGAGTGCGGGGAGAGTGCCAAGTGCGTTGTGATGGCGCCTGGCTCTGCCCAGTGCAAGTGCCTTGAGGATGGCCTTTCCTTCCAAGAAGCTGACACGACGTGCATTCCTGGTGAGTGTTGGAATGTGGGTGACCGCTGGAGTGCGTGAGAGTGAGTGAGTGAGTGAGTGGGTGCATGTGTGTGTGTGCTTGCGCGCGCGCGTGCGTGTGTGTGTGTGTGTGCGTGCGTGTGCCGGTGCGTGTGCGGGTGTGTCTGTGTCTGTGTCTGTGTGTCTCTGTGTGTTTGTCTGTGTGTCTGTGGGTTCTCACCCCTTTCATTTATATGCCTGAATCCTTTGTCTCTGTCCCTCTGCAGTGCCCCCGGCTGTCACGTGTGACAAGGACTGCGGGTCTGCAGAGTGCGTTCTCAAGGACCGCACGGCCCAGTGCAAGTGCCCTGGGAGCCTCGTGTTTGACGAGGCTAACAAGGCCTGCAGCGAGAAGGCTCCTGCTCCTGGTAAGTGCCTGCGCCTCCTGCTGCATGCTTGTCTGTGCCTCCTGCTGCATGCTTGCCAGAAAGAAAAAGATTCATACAAACCCAGTGCAAGTGCCCTGGGAGCCTCGTGCTTGACGACGCTAACAAGGCCTGCAAGGCTCCTGCTGCATGCTTGTCTGTGCCTCCTGCTGCATGCTTATCCTTGCCTCCTGCTGCACTTTTGTCTTGCCTGCTGCTGCATGCTTGGCAGCAAGAAAGGGTCAGACCAACCCAGTGCATGTGTCCCTGGATCCTAGTTTGCAGTGCTCCTGGTGCAAACCAACGCCCCCTGGCTCTTGGCCAGCCTGTCAGGCTGATTTTATCTCCCTTCTTTCTGCTACCCATGGCAGTGAAAGACCCTTGCAAGGCACGCACAGTGAAACGAACTAGATCTGGAAAATCACTTCTGAGAATTCTCAAAAGTGATTCCCAACGGCCAGACTGTCAGGCTGATTTTACCTCCCTCCCCTTTCTTTCTGCTACCCGTGGCAGCGAAGGACCCGTGCAAGGCACGCACAGTGAAGTGCGGCAAGAACTTCAAGTGCGTCGTGAAGAATGGGCAGAAGGCCGCTTGCGAGTGTGAGACCGGCTACACCAAGAGGAACAACCAGTGCATTGGTGAGCCTTGAGATGACTCTAACGTGCGTTGTGAAGTGAAGGGCAGGCAGGGCGCTGGTTAGATAACAAGTGTGCAAAATGAAGCCAGGCTCACGAAAGGGGCTGGTTAGATAACAAGTGTGCAAAATTGAGCCAGGCTCACCAATGCGGTGGTTAGATATCTCATAATTGAGTTGCAAAGGGGGGGCAGGGTGCTTGCGAGCGAGTGAGACACTGGCTACACCAAGTTGAACGGCCAGACCAGTGCACTGGTGAGCTGACCAAGGGCTTTAATTCAACAGCTGCTCACCCATGGATTTAAGAGGTCAAGAGCAACAAGGCTGAGGCCAAGACGTCTATATGTCAAGAAGTCAAGAGTAAGGGTTGATTTTGGGAATCTTCAATTCTTGCCGAGGTTGATTCTGAGAATTCTCAAATCTTGTTGAGGTTTTCATTTTAAGAATTCTCAGAATCAACCTCAGGTCAAGGTCAGGATGAAGGATGTGAAGAGGTCGAGAGACAGCTCCTCCCTTCGAACCACTCGCTCTCACCTTTTTTAGAATTCTCAAAAAAGAGACAGCTCCTCCCGAACCACTCGCTCTCACCTTTTCCCTCCCTGTTTGCCCATGCAGCCTCATGCTCTTTCCCCTCTCCTCCACCTCCCACCTCCCTCGCACCCATGCCAGCCATGTGCAAGGCCTGCTCTGCTAATGCCCAGTGCGTGGTGGTGGAAGGAGTGGCGGGGTGTCAGTGCAGGAAGGGCTTCAAGTTGAACAAGAAAACTAACAAGTGCACACGTTAGGGAGAGTTACCAGGTACGCTCTTGCTTCTGTCATGCTGTTTTCACTGTATGAGCCACGTGCACAGCATGAGCCGCGTGCACAGTATGAGCCACGTGCACAGCATGAGCCGCGTGCACAGCTTGAGCCACGTGCACAGCTTGAGCCGCGTGCACAGCTTGAGCCGCGTGCACAGCTTGAGCCGCGTGCACAGCTGGTGCCGCGTGCACAGCTGGTGCATCTCGTCTGAACCTCGTTCATCGTTCACATTCCTGAAACACCCTTCTTGGCTCTTCTCAATCTCATCTCATGTTACCAGCACGGCTAAACTGCGTCGCATGTTACTCGACAAGTTGCCATCTGCATCTGTGCTTTGGGCTCCTGTCATTCTTGTTGGAATAAAATATTTTAACAATTCTCATTCTCACTGCACCTTACCCTAGATGGTCGATCATCCTCTCTCACCTTCTGCATCGCGTCACTCTGGCCTGTGCTCCATTCGCCCTCTCTTTGCCACTTCAGAGATTCCGAAGAAACAGTTGGAAAGAGCAGGGGCCAAGGGCAGATCGAAAGGACAGAGGGCAAGTGCAGGACAGAGGGCAAGTGCAGGTGGAAAGGACAGAGGGCAAGTGTAAGCGAAGAACGGCGACCCTGGTTGGATGGGCAGGGGGCAAGGAGGTGCAAGCTGGCTTCACCAGAGGAACTTCAGGTGGGGGTGGGCTAATGGAGGAGAGGTGCGCCAGCAACTGCATGCGGTTCTCGGAGGCTAGGAACCAACTCGGAGTGACGGCTAGCGGAGTCATTTGGTACACACGTATTGCCATAATGAGATTACGTGCTTGCTTGGTTGGCTTGTCGTACTGTACCATAGAGAGTGTGTGTCTATGTGTACGAGTGTTTTTGTTGTTTTATGTGTATTTTTGTGGGGTGACAAAAGTGGTATGCAGCTTGAACCTTTATTGAAAACCGTTGCAAGTGGTTACCATTTGGCACGTCGTTTGTTTCAGAATAGATACCTCTCTGGGGGCTTTGTTGGATCATTCCAATTCCAACGGAATGGTTGCATACGTATACAAAATTCATTATGGTATCAGTTGAAATTTACATACAGGCCCTCAGATTCCTTTTTGGCCTGTCTGATTTGTCAGACTTAGTACACTGTGTTAGTCTGATTTGATCAGAGTTGGTTGAAAAAAAAGGCTGAAACTTCAGAGTGCCTAAAAAAAAAAGTCGGAAGCATTCAGAGTCTACACCAGTGACAAGTCTGATTTTGATTTTAGCCGTGTGTTGTATAGCCTGTGCAGTTGACCTTGGTTGAACTACCGTATTCTCCCGGACATAACACCCGGGGGTATTATGATAACCACAGGGAAAAAAGGGGGGGGGTCCTCTCAACGGAAAATCCTATATAATACCCGGGTGGTTATATATGGTATATTTTAATGCAAGAGGATTCTCAAATTAGACAGTTTGGGTGTTTCAATGGTCGTTTTAACATCACAGTTTGAGGCGAGAATGTGAGTTTTGGCAAGAATGTGAGTTTCACCTTTCGGGCCACTTGCAGCAGAACATTCGCCAGCGTGGCAACTTCCTAGAATGTGGGATGGGGGAAATGTCCACTTGCAGCGAAAGATTCGCCAGGGTGGCGACAGTGAGATTGTGGGAGGGGGAAATGTTGGCGGATTCTAAGTGCAAGTACGCGCGAAATTTCATTTAGGAAGCAATTCTCGCGATATTCCCCTGTAAGGAATCAGACTCAATAACAACTATAATAGGAATCCGTAAGAAAAGGGGGGTGTTATAGAAAATCATCCAAAAAGGGGGGTATAGTAGAAACGAGGTCGCCCATAGCACCCACCCCGCACAAGCTACCCGGGGGTGTACTATCATGGGGGGGTGTTTTGTCCGGGAGAATACGGTACCGTACATTAGACAGGCACAGGCCTACATAACATACTACTGATGCATTAACAGTAAGATTTAGGGTCCTACCTACCTATACTAGGGCTATATATGTCCTAGCCTATCTACTCTTAATTCTAGGAATGAGCACACTCAATGGTTGAATGCAGCTAACAACACCCCACACTATCCAGAGACCAGAGCAGCACACAGCAGTTCCACCAGGAAGATGCAGTCCAATCATTCTTTACCCCATGCCCACCTCCTCCTAGGGTCCATCAGAGCAGCACGAGCAGCAGCTTCAGCCAGCTTTCCATCTCACCACCGCCATCTGAGTCCAGCCACTCACCAAACGACCGTCCAACTTACCTTGCAACACCCTGAGAAGCAGGGTGGAAAAAAGGACCAGACAGTTCCCACCACAACCCCCTTCTACGGTACTCTCGTCTCTCCACCGGGTTAGCTGGCTGCTCTGTGCTGCTGACTGCAACTTTCTACCCACCTTTCTACCCACCTTCCTCCCATCCTGCCATCTTTCCGCCACCCCACAGGCACCGCAATCTCAAGGCCTTTTTAAGGCCTTGCTGCCACTGCCTTAGTTGACCACGCAGACCATGATGCAGCCACTCCGCAATTTTTTTTTTTTTTTTTTTTTTGGGTTGCAAAGCAACCTATTACAATCGTTATGTACATTTTTTTTTCATCCTCTATACATCAAATAATAAAGGATGAAAAAAATCTAGAGTCGGTAACTAAGTGACTGACTGCTATGTATTTGCCATGTCAATTTACCACGCGCCGAACCACATTTCTTCTCGTTTCCTAGTTTGCCAGAACCTATATTTCATGAGTTGCCAAAATGATGTACTGTGAACGTGTAAGTGTTTATTCCGTGATGCATATGCCCGATGGTGTTATGCGTAGATGAAGTAAATGCAAAATGCATAAATATAATGCATATGCTACTGTGGTAGTGAAATGAATGCATAGCATGATGGAAATGCATAACAGTTAATTGACTCAGACCCTATGCTACCGCATCCCCTGCCTAGCATGGGGGGAGCTCAATAGCATAGTTACTGAATCATCCAACTGTCACATGAAACAACACAACCTGTGTGATCTAAAAAAAAGATCATTTCTATCAAATCCAGTTCGAATGGACACACTCACTGAGTGCGCAAAGAACCTTCTCGGAAACGACAGCTTGATCTGTGAAAATAGGAAAACAGGAATGAATGAACTATGAATGAAAGCAGTACAAATATGAAACCCTAACTGGGTTGTACCCCCTATGGGATACCCCACTACAGCCTACACAGCAGTATAAGCTATAGATATGTTCTGACACACCCCCATAGGCAAAGTGGGGGAGAACAAGGGGTCACAAGACCAGTCAAGCAAGACAAAGCAAAGCTCAGGGTGGACCACAAAGTCACCACACAGTCCGAGCACAAGAGCAAGGCCAAAGGCCAGTTCACAAGCAAGAGTACAGACATATATATAAAGCTAGACAAGCAAGAGCAGGTATATATATATGTCACAGTACAAGTGAGGTCAAGAGGAGAGCAAGTGAGGCAAGACAGGCACAAGACCCAGCTGGGTGCAGAAGCGCTGATGGTCACAAGGCGCAAGTGCCTTGGTGAACACATCAGCAGTGTTGGCCTCAGAGGCCACGTACGCAAGTCGCAACTGACCACGCTGCTGCAGCTCACGAGCAAGGAAGTAGCGGAGAGCAATGTGCTTCGTTCTGTGCTCCAAGCGCTGCTCTCGACACAAGGCCAGCATAGCCTTGTTGTCTACGTACAGCACTGGAGGAGAACGAGGCGGCTCTCCAAGGTCAGTCAGCAGGTAGGTGAGCCAGCGAAGCTCCTGTGCAGCCATGGCCCCGGCGTAGATCTCAGCCTCACAACTGGAGCCGAGAACCGAAGACGAGCGAGTAGACCGCCACGAGACAGAGCCGGAACCAAGGCTGAAGGTGTAACCCTGTGACGACCGCTGCGTAGCCTGGTCGTCAGCCCAAGAAGCGTCCGCGTGGCCGGTAAGGACCACTGGACTCCGCCCTCCAAGCACTAGCCCCATGCCTGACGTACTGCACAGGTAGCGCAATACCCTCTTCGCTGCAGCCATGTGCTCCGGTCTGTGTCTCCCAGGGGCAACATAGCGTGCAAGAATGCTCAGAGGGTATGCAAGGTCAGGTCGTGTGCAGGTCATCAGGTACATGAGGCAGCCAACAAGCTCCGCATACGGACCACTCGACTCTACGGACTCATCCGAAGGCAGAGCTGAGAGTGAGTGGCGAGTAGGCAGAGGAGTGGCCTGAGGCGAGGAGTACGTGAAGCCGAAGCGCTGAAGGACCTGCTGCACCATGTGTGACTGAGTCAAGGTAATGGTGCGGCGTGCTCTGTCCCGAGTGATCTGCAAGCCAAGGTAGCTGCGCAGTTCACCCAGGTCTGTGCACGTGTGTCTCTTCAACAGCTCGGACTTCACGTAGGCGAGTCCAGCAGTGTCCGCTGTGGCAAAGACCAGGTCGTCGACGTACACGAGGATGTAGAACGGCGGCAGGGAAGTGTCGGTGCGAAGAAACAGCGACGGGTCAGCAGTAGAAGGAGCAAACCCAAGAGCCGCAAGCGTAGTCCTCAGTGTGTCGTGCCACTCACGCGGTGCCTGGCGGAGACCGTAGACTGGCCGTCGGAGGCTCCACTGGGTGCCAGGAGGGAAAGTCCCAGTAAAGCCAGGTGGACGGCGAAGCCAGATCTCCTCGTGCAGGCTACCCTGCAAGAACGCAGTGCTGAAGTCGAGAGAGTGAAGCTCGTAGTCGCGCTGAGCGGCTATGTGCAGCAGCACCCGAAGAGTAGTCATCTTCGGGGTGGGAGAGAAGGTCTGAAAGTAGTCAACTCCCTGCCGCTGACTGAAGCCACGAGCAACGTACCGTGCCTTGAAGACAGGTGGAGAGCCCGGCGGCCGCTTCACCCTGAAGATCCACATGCCACTGACGATGTTCGCCCCAGGAGGGGGAACCGCGTCAACGTAGGTGCCTGTGGACTTCCAGGAAGCCATCTCTGCATCCATAGCTGCCTGCCACTGAGAGGAGTAGGGACCCTCTACGGCCTCCGCGTAAGAACGCGGAGTCGGGATGTCTAGTGCATCCGGGTCTCCCTCAGGGGAAAGCAGTACAGACGCGAGATGAGGTGAAGCAGCCGCTAGACACTGTAACTCCTCCTGCCTGTCCTCTAGGACGTCCGTGCCAAGAGCACACTCACCCCCGACGGACGTAGGACAGACAGACGCAGACTCAGCAACAAGACTAGCAGCGTAGTCGAGACGACAGCGAGCAGCAAAGTCGACGAGCTCAGCGACTAGAGCAGACGCAGCAGTGGACTCAAAAGAGGGGTCAGTGACGACAGTAGCAAGCAGACGCGTGACAGTGGGACTGGCAGCACGAAGAGAGTCCGACTCAGGGTCCGCAAGCGCAGGAAGAGAGGACTCAGGAGGAGAAGGCAAAGGGGCACGCAGAGGAGCAGTGGACGGACGTAAAGACATCCGGTGCGTGCCAGGGACAGGAGGAGGACGCTGACGCGAACTGCGACCACTAGCGCGAGCAGCACGAACAGGCGACGCGGGACGAGACGCAGGCTCACGACGCTCAGCAAGACCTCCAGTAGGACCAGTGTAAGGAGAGGGAGCAGGCAGTGGAGAGGAAGGCTCCAGTAGGGGCCGCGACTGGACAGGCGGTGGACCCTCTACTGGAGGAGAAAGACCAAGAACCTGCTGAAGGAGCGGAACGAAGTACGGCCGAGGCCGCGCGGCAGCTCCAGACTC